CATTACTGTGGTAAAATGAAGCTCAAAGGGGCCAGTGCTGTGATGTAGCTGGTAAAGCTGCCATATGCAGCGCTGGCATCTCATATGGGTGCCAGTTTGAGTCCTGGCTGCTCCACTCCCTATCCAGTTCCCTGCTAATGTGCCTGGGAATCTGTGGAGGACGGCCCAAGTGCTTAGGCCCCTGCAACAACGTGGGAGACCCGGAAGAAGCTCCTGGCCCCTAGCTTTGGATCAGCCCAGCTCTGGCTGTCGCGGCCTATTGAGGAGTGAACCAGTGGCTGGAAGATCTCTCTCTCTCTCTCTCTGCCTCTCTGTCTGTAACTCTTTCAAATAAATAAATAAATCTTTCAAAAAAAAAAAAAAAAGCTCAAAATTGTGATAATAAAACAGATGGAACGAGATTGCAGAAGTAAGGAAGCACTGAAAATCAATGGAATTGGGGCCGGTGCTGTAGCGCAGTGAGTTAAAGCCCTGGCCTGAAGCGCCGGCATCCCATATGGGCACTGGTTCTAGTCCCAGTTGCTCCTCTTCCGATCCAGCTCTCTGCTATGGCCTGGGAAAGCAGTAGATGTCCCAAGTCCTTGGGCCCCTGCACCCGCGTGGGAGACCTGGAAGAAGTTCCTGGCTTCGGATCGGCGCAGCTCCAGCCATTGCGGCCAATTTGGGAGTGAACCAGCAGATGGAAGACCTTTCTCTCTGTCTCTGTCTCTACCTCTCTCTGTAACTCTGTTTTTCAAATAAATAAATCTTAAAAAAAAAGAAACTAAAAAATCAAATATTAGGAAGAGTAGATACTCCTGAATATTGGATTGAAGACATTAAGAGGAAGATTAAAGGTAATATCAAACACAGATGAAGAAGAAGTTTTCAGAGAGGAGCCAATAGAAAAGGAAAGACTGTCAAAGATGATTCATCAAGTGGAACAGAAAGCACACTCATGGAGAATATTCCTGGGCAGGTGTTCGATGCAGCAGTTAAGATGTCATGTGGGATGCCCACATCTCAAATTGTGCTTGGATTTGAGTCCCAACTCTGCTTCCCGTCCCAGCTTCCTGCTAATGCACACACTGGGAGGCAGGAGGTGGTGGCCCAGGTACTTGGGTCTCTACCACTCATGTGGGAGACCCATATTGAGTTCTAGGCTCTTGGCTTCAGCCTGGCCTCCAACTGTTATGGGCATTTGGGGAATGAGTTAGGAGACAGAAGACCTCTGTCTCCATCTCTCTTTTAAATAAATAAGTAGAATTTTCTTGAAATGAGGATGTAATTGAATTGGCAATTGAATATACCTATTCCAGGTAAATTTGGAATTTGAAGGATCAAGAGTTTTTCTGGCAAAACAAAGAGGCAAAGCTCAGCCTGTCTCAGTTGTTTTTTTTTTTTTTTTTCCAAAAGTTTTTTTATTTATTTGAAAAGCAGAGTTAGAGAGAGACAGAAGTCGAGAGAGGTCTGCCATCTGCTAGTTCATTCCTCATATATTCACAGTGGCCAGAGCTGAGCCAGTCTGAAGCCAGGAACCAGGAGTTTCATCCAGGTCTCTCACACGGATGGCCGGGGCCCAAGTACTTGGGCCATCTTCCACTGCTCTCCCAGGTGCATTAGCAAGGAGTTGGGTTGGAAGTGGAACAGCTGGGACTTGAACTGGTGCCATATGGGATGCCAGTGCTGCAGGTGGCAGCTTAACCCGCTAAGACACAGCACTCCCCTGTCTCAATTGTCTACAGCAGTAATTAACGTAATGTCTACAAACTTCTGAGAGAAAGAATTATGGCCCTGAAACATTGACCCAGCTACAGGTACTGTTCTAGTGTAAATGCAGCAGGTAGATATGCTCACATGTAAAAACCCTTAGGGATTCAAGATCTGTGAGCTACTGTTGAAAAAACTGCTTTCCCGGGGCAGGAGTTGTCCTGCAATGTGCTAAGCTACCACTTAGGACTCCTGAATCCTATATCAGAGTGCCAGTTAGTGTTCTGGGTATTCCACTTCTTATCCAGCTTCCAACTAATACAACCTGGGAAGCAACAGGTGGTTTCTCAAGTGATTGAGTCCCTGCCACCCACTTGAGACACCCAGATGGAGTTCTAGGCTCTTGGCTTTGACCTGGCCCTGTCCTGGCTGGCATTTGGTGGGTGAACCAGCAAACGGAGGGTCTCTGTTTTTCTGTTGCTCTGCCTTTCAAACAGATGAAAATAAGTAAGCAATAAAAAATACACTCCTAAAATGATGAAAAACTGCCTGCCAGTATATTTCAACAAGTTAAATAAGAATGCAAGAATGGGGGCCAGCATTACAGTACACTAGGTTAGGCTGTTGCCTGTGATGCCAGCATCCCAATACAAGCGTGCCAGTTGGAATCCTGACTGCTTCACTTCCAGGCATTTTGACAGGTAGCTAGATTGGAAGTGGAGCAGCTGGAACTTGAACTAGTGCTCATATGGGATGCCAGTGCTGCCAGCAGTTGCACTTGCTGCACCACAGTGCTGGCTCCTCCTCTAATGTTTTTGATAATTGTGGTTAATTTTAGATTTGCAGTGATTTTTTTAAAAAAACTTTTGTACTTGTACATTTTTATATTTGAATTTTTTATTACAGTGGACCATTTTTTTTTAAAGATTTGTTTGAAAGGCAAAGTTAGAGAAAGAGGAGATACAGGGAGAGAGATATGTGTGGTTCACTCCCCAGAAGGCTACAATGGCGTGCCAGGCCAAATCCAAGAGCCTAGAATTCCGTACATGTCTTCCATGTGGGTGGCAGGGGCGCAAGCCCTTGGGCCACCTTCCAGTATTTTTCCAGGCACTTTAACAGGGAGCTGGGTTGGAAGTGGCACAGCCAGGATTTGAACTGGTGGTCATATGGGGTGACATCACAGGTGGCAGCTTAACCTGCTGTACCACAACACTAGCCCCCAACAATGAACCTTTTATTTTTTTTTAAGTATGTATTTGAAAGGCAGAGCAATGGAGAGAGGAAGAGTGAGCGAGCGAGCTATCTTCCATTTGCTTGTTTATTCCCCAAATAGCAGCAACAGCCATGTCTATAGCAGACCCAAGCCAGGAGCCAGGAACTCTGTCTGGATCCTGAATGGCACCCAAATATTTAGATCATCATCTACTTCTTTCTCAGACACATTAGGAGGGAGCTGGGTGGGAAGTAGAGCAGTGGAACCTTGAACCAGCATTCCAGTATGGATGCTGGTGTCCCTAGTGGTCATTCAATCTGCTGCACCAAAATGCCAGCCCCTACAAGGAACCATTTTGTTTCTCTTGAAAATAAATATGCAAAAATACCAACAGTGGTAAACCTTGGGTATCAGAAAAAATGTGTGATTGAAAATAAATATGCAAAAATACCAACAGTGGTAAACCTTGGGTATCAGAAAAAATGTGTGATTGTAATTTCTCCTCTTTCCTTTTTCTCTGCTTTCCTCTTGTTTCTTTCTTTGCTTAAAAAAATATTCATTTTAATATTTAAAAAGTGGGATCTGCTCATGTTGTGACACAGCATGTTAAGCTGCTGCTGCTGCCATCTGCAATGCTGGCATCCCATATGAGTGCTGATTCGAGTCCTGGCTGTTCCACTTCCAAACAAGCTCCCTGCTAATGTGCCTGGGAAAGCAGCAGAAGATGGCCCAAGTGCTTGAAGCCCTGTGCCCATGTGGGAGACCTAGATGGACTTCCAAGCTTCTGGCTTCAGCCTCACCCAGCCATGGCCATTGTGGCCATTTAGGGAGTGAAACAGCAGATGGAAGATCTCCGCCCGTCCGCTCCCCACCCCCCGCCCCATGTGTGTGTGTCCCCTTTGTCTATAGCTCTGCTTTTCAAATAAATAAACCAATATTTTAAAAAGAAATAAATAAGAGGAAGAAAACAAATGCTTGACTATTTCAGGATAGACTGTTAGATTTGGAGGGGATAGTTGCTCTGGTTCATGATAAGCCACGGGGCATAGGAAAATAATTAACCAAATCTGAAAAATGACTTCTAAGTTGGCCATCCAGTTGTGGAAAGGATCATCCTTAGAAGTAACAACATTAATATAAAAATTCAGGAGCATGCCATTTCGTGGAGTATTTACAGGACAACCAACTTTTTTTTTTGACAGGCATTGAGAGAGAGAGAGAGAGAGAGAGAGAGAGAAAGGTCTTCCTTCTGTTGGTTCACTCCCCAAATGGCCAGCATGCTGCACCAATCTGAGCCAGGAGCCAGGTGCTTCCTCCTGGTCTCCCATGCAGGTGCAGGGCCCAAGCACTTGGGCCATCCTCCACTGCCTTCCCGGGCCACAGCAGAGAGCTGGACTGGAAGAGGAGCAACCGGGACTAGAACCCGGTGTGCCGGCGCTGCAGGTGGAGGATTAGCCAATTGAGCCGTGGCGCCAGCCAGGACCACCAACTTTTAAAAAGTTCTCTTATTTTGGGGCCAGTGCTGTGGCGCAGTAGGCTAAACCTCTGCCTGCAGCGCTGGCATCCCATATGGGCGCTGGTTCATGGAGACCCAGAAGAAGCTCCTGGCTTCAGATCGTCTTAGCTCTAGCTGTTGTGGCCATTTGGGGAGTGAACCAGCAGATGGAAGACCTGTCTCTGTGTCTCTTCTCCTTAACTCTTCCTCTCAAATAAATAAAATCTTTAAAAAAAAAAGTTTACTCATTTTATTTGAAAGGCAGATAGATTGATCTATCGGTTCACTCCCCAAATGGCCACATTAGTTGTAGCAGGAACTCCATCGAGTCTGCCACAAGGGTGGCAGGGACTCAAGTATTTGAATCCTCTTTTTTTTGGCCTCCCATGAGCATTAGTAGGAAGCTGGATTGGAAGCAAAGGTGGGACTCGATCTCAGGCACTCCAGTGTGAGATCAGTCATCCCAAGTGGTGGCTTAGCTCGCTGTGCTGCACTTTAAGAAAAGATTAAATATAATCCAGATGCAAATACTTTAATGACATAGCATAGTAAGTATTACTAATTTTCACTAGTTTTTAATCTTTCCTCCCAATTTTCTTCCAGTCCCAGTACCCTAAAGAAGATGGTGTTTATGTTTTTCATCCCCATAGTCAGCCAGTGAGCTGTCTCTGCTTCTCACCTGCTAACCCATCTCACCTCCTGTCACTGAGCTATGATGGCACATTACGCTGTGGGGATTTTTCCAGAGCTGTTTTTGAAGAGGTAAATGTCAATGTATTTACATGTGGACCTTGGATGATATTCTGGATACTTTGTCAAATGTCACGTGAGTGATTATTGTACCAGTCAGGTTAGGAGAAGTGCTATAGCACATAGACATTAGAACTAACTGCTTAACTTTAAGTCTCAGAGCATCTGTTAATGCATATGTGACCTTGACAAATCACGTAACTTCTTTGTGCCTTAATTTCTTCAGTTGTGAAATAGAATAGTAATAGTTTGTGCCTTTGGGGTTGTCATAAGGATTCAATGAGTTAATGCACATAAAGTATTTAGAATAAAGCTTTGCACGTAGTAAATGTATGGTGTTTATTTTTTTCCAATAATTTTAATGAAATAACTTTTCAATTTTTTTTTTTTTTGACAGGCAGAGTTGACAGTGAGATAGAGAGACAGAGAGAAAGGTCTTCCTTTTGCCGTTGGTTCACCCTCCAATGGCCGCCGCGGCCGGCGCGCTGCGGCCGGCGCACCGCGCTGATCCGATAGCAGGAGCCAGGAGCCAGGTGCTTTTCCTGGTCTCCCATGGGGTGCAGGGCCCAAGCACCTGGGCCATCCTCCACTGCACTCCCTGGCCACAGCAGAGGGCTGGCCTAGAAGAGGGGCAACCGGGACAGAATCCGGCGCCCCGACCGGGACTAGAACCCGGTGTGCCGGCGCCGCTAGGCGGAGGATTAGCCTAGTGAGCCGCGGCGCCGGCCAACTTTTCAATTTTTTATGCTTTAGAATTGTACTACTACATTTGGGGAAAAATTGGAATATTACTGTTTTATTCATCATTCTTTTTAAAGATTTATTTATTTGAAAGTTATAGTTACAGGGGCTGGTGCTGTGGCATAGCAGATAAAGCTGCTTCCTGCAGTGCTGGCATCCCATATGGGCGCTGGTTTGAGTCCCAGCTGCTCCACTTCCGATCCAGCGCTCTGCTATGGCCTGCGAAAGCAATAGAAGATGGCCCAAGTGCTTGGGCCCCTGCAGCCGTGTGGGAGACCCAGAGGAAACTCCTGGCTTTGAATCAGGTCAGTTCTAGTATTGTGGCCATTTGGTGAGTGAACCAGTGGGTGGAAGATCTCTTTTTCTGTCTCTCCCTCTCTGTAACAATGGATCTCAAGTAAATAAATAAATCCAAAAAAAATAAAAAAGACATAGATCCAGTATTTAAAAAAAGAGTTATGGGGGGTGGGAGAGGGAGAGAGGGATATCTTCCATTTTCTGGTTCACTCCCCCAGACAGCCTAGGCCAGGATGAAGCCAGGAGCCAGAAGCTTAATTTGGGTCTCCCATGTGGGTGGCAGGGGGCCAAATATTTGGACTATCTTCTGCTTTTCCCAAGCCATTTGCAAGGAGCTGGATCGGGAATGGAGCAGCCAGGATATGAATCAGCACCCATAGGGAATGCCACTGTTGCAGGTGGAAGCTTTACCCACCATGCCATAATGTCAGTCACATCATTCCTGGTTTTTGTAGACATGAATTTTGTGGGGATGAGTCTTACATGTGACAAAAAATGACAATAGAGAAATTCATTACATAATGTACTATATTATGTGGACCTAAAACTCATGGTCTGTAGTATAATACAGAAACAATAAAATTTGGTTTTCTGTTGTCTTCTAGCTGATATTTAGATATTATATGCCATATGTATCTGAGGGCAAAAAGATTAGCTCAGTTATTTCTATCTGGAGAAGTTAGGATTAAATAAAACCTGCCATTGACTATTATTTAATTATTATCTGGCAAGAAATAGACATAAAGGGTTTTATTCAGAAGACCCTGGGCCAATTTTATTTGTAACAACCTCTTGAGGATAGGGCATTTTTCTGGACTGGTATAATCCACGCAAATCAGATTGTCTGTTTGAGAATAAAAGTTGAACTATGTTAGGCATCTACACTCATGATTACCAGGCCTCCCTGAGAGACCCTGAGTAGATCCCCAGAGTACTCTTTGGAGATTTTCTAGTGTATTTGATCTCTTGTGGAGCAAGCCAGAAGAATCCTTTTGAATCCCATTGCTTATTTTTGGTGTAGTACTTAAATATTTACTACTTGGTAGCATCATTTGGGGTGAACTTTCGGATTATGTTTAACCATATGAGATTTCCTCAGTAAGAGAATTCTTACAAATTTAACTTTAAAAAAAATGTATGTTTTAGTCTATGAAACTTAACATGGTTTAGATTTTTTTTTATCATTTGTTTTGTTTTGAATGGGATTTTGAAGTTTTTAGAGGTGCTCAGTTTAAAAGGAGTTTGTATTATCACTGGAGTTGCTTTGTAAACACTAACTTTATATTTCAGCTTTTTTACATAAGTCAGTATTCAAAATTAACTCATGCTGATACCTTAATTGTTCCAAATAGTCCATGTATGGAGGACTCATAATTATTTTTGAAAGGATTTTTAAATATTTAATTTTATAGTACGGTATATAATTGCTTTCATTTTATTCTAAATTGAATTCCTAAATGATCTTTGTTATAATTGGAGAGGCTTTTTCTCCCTGCTGAGTCGTCTTTTAGGAATGTTTAAGGTCTTGTAAGTCTGTCTGACTATTAAAGTTGCATTCCTCATCAGACTTGATTTACTACTTTTAACAATGAGAAGAAGCAGTTTATCTGTATCTTTGGTTTTTTTCCTTTAACTTCTATTTCTGTCTTTAAAAATAGGTTTGTAAAAGCAACAATGCTATTTCAAATATTTATTAGAAATACATGGGCTGTAAATCAGAATAAATCAAATACTTATTAGAATCAGTGTAAAGGCTTTTTTAACATTTTATTTGAAAGGCAAAGTTATAGAGAGAGAGGAGGAGAAAAGAGAGAGAAAGAGAGAAATCGAGAACTTCTATCTGCTGGTTCACTCCCCGGATGGCTGCAACAGCCAGAGCTGGATCAGGCTGAAGCCAGGAGTCATGAGCGTTTTCCGTGGCAGGGGCCTAAGCACTTGGGCCGTCTTGCGCTGCTTTCCCAGCGAGGAGCTGGATAGAAAGACACTTTCTGTGTCTGTAGATTTATTTATTCTGATATTTCATATAAATGGAATCATACTATTTATGGTATTTTGTGACTGGCTTCTTTCACTTTGGAAAATGTTTTTTGAAGTTCATTTGTGTGGTAGTATGTATCAGTACTTCATTTCTTTTTATGGCTGAAAAATAGTCTATTGTATGGACTTAATATATTTTATGCACCCATCTGTCTCCATTTTTATTTAACTATTGCAGAAAATGCTGGTATGAACATTTATGTACAAGTTCTTGTGTGGACATAATGTATTCATTTCTCTTGGGTATATATCTAGGAGTTGGAATTGCTGGGTCATGTATTTAACATTTTGTTTTATTTTTAATATTTATTTATTTGAGAAGCAGAATTACAAAGAGGTCTTCTATCTGCTGGTTTACTCCCCAAATGGCCACAATGGATGGAGCTGGGCCAATCTAAAGGCAGGGGCCAGGAGCTTCTTCTGGGTCACCCATGTGGGTACAAGGGCCCACGCATTTGGGCCATTTTCTACTGCTTTTCCAGGCCATTAGCAGGAAGCCGGATTGGAAGTGGAGCAGCCAGGACTCGAACTGGAGCCCATATGAGATGCTTGCTCCACAGGCAGAGGCTTAACCTACCACACCACAGAGCCAGTTGTTGTATTTTATCATTTTAAGGAACTGCCAAACTCCTCGGGCCATCTTCCACTGCTTCCCCAGGCCATAGCCGAGAGCTGGATTGGAAGCGGAGCAGCTGGGACTTGAATTGGCACCCACATGGGATGCCTGCACTGGAGGCAGCGGCTTTATCCGCTTAGCCACAGTGCCGGTCCCAGAGTAACATTTCAGCACAGAACAAAACAAGTGGATCCTGAGTGTGCAAGGCCTAATCCAGGCAACCCCACAAGACCCCATACTCTTTGGGTATGACTGCCTGAGGGAAGGGTGCATTGTCTGGGAGCGTCCAGGGATACACTTGGGCCTCCTTTCGCAGCCCAGTTTATCGGGAAACGAGGCGGGGGCCTGAAACATGGCAGGCTCTGCACCACCTGGGAAAGCTGTTAAGAAAACTGGAGGCGAGAATTGGCCGGTGCCACGGCTCAATAGACTAATCCTCTGCCTGCGGTGCCGGCACACTGGGTTCTAGTCCTGGTCGGGGCACCGATTCTGTCCTGGTTGCCCCTTTTCCAGGCCAGCTCTCTGCTGTGGCCCAGGAAGGCAGTGGAGGATGGCCCAAGGTCTTGGGCCCTGCACCCGCATGGGAGACCAGGAGAAGCACCTGGCTCCTGGCTTCGGATCAGCACGATGCGGCGGCATTGGAGGGTGAACCAGCGGAAAAGGAAGACCTTTCTCTCTCTCTCTCTCTCTCACTCTCACTCTCACTCTCTCACTGTCCACTCTGCCTGTCAAAAAATTTATTTAAATAAATAAATTAAAAAAAACTGGAGGCGAGAATCAGCTGGTCAGCGGTTGGGCAGCACGGTGCCATGCGCTAACCACTCATTTATAACTGCTTCTTAGTGGAGTTCAGCTTCTGGAGCCAGCGTCTCCGCGTGGTTCCTGCTTCCCAAGGGGTGGGCAAAGGCACACGGAGGGTGAATGTGTGGGCAGATGCCCAGCCTCCTGGAGCGTTGGGTGCCGGTGGTGCCTTCACCAGCAGCACCTGCCTCTGCATTCACACCGCTAGGAAAACCGCTTGCCTGTGCTGCCTGTGCCTGCGTCCATGCACCACTCTGTCGGCGACCCCACCCTTGGGCACTGCTGCCACCTGTGCCTTGAAGTCAGCTGTGTTAAAGTAGAAGTTACTTACCGTAAACTTGACCATTTTAGGTGTCTGGTTCTATGAGTTTTAGCAAGTTGTTTGCACCTGTATAATCACCACCCAGTGGGAGAAGGGAATTTCTCCCTTTTCCCTCTAAAATTGCTTCATGAGCTTTCGTAGTCAACCTCCTCCCTTGTGGCAACCACTGATAAGATTACTGTGCAGATACAGTCGTTTGGTTTGTAGCCTTTTGTATCTGGCTTCTGTCACCTAGCGTATACTTTTGTATATTTTTTAAAATTTATTTTTGAAGATTTATTTATTTCATAGAGTTACAGAGAGAGGTCAAGACGGAGAGGTCTTCCATCCACTGCTTCACTCCCCAAATGGCTGCAATGGCTGGAGCTGAGCCAATCGGAAGCCAGGAACCAGGAGCTTCTTCCAGGTCTCCCACATGGGTGCAGGGGCCCAAGGACTTGGGTCATCCTCTGCTGCTTCCCCAAGCACACAGTAGCAGGGAGCTGGATCGGAAGTGAAGCATCTGGGACTCCAGCCCGCATTCATATAGGAGGCTGGGACTTAACCTGCTGCGCCACAGTGCCGGCCCCACGTTTTTTTTTGTTTTGTTTTGTTTTGTTTTGTTTTTTGACAGGCAAAATGGACAGTGAGAGAGAGAGACAGAGAGAAAGGTCTTCCTTTGCCGTTGGTTCACCCTCCAATGGCCGCCGCGGCTGGCAGGCGTGCTGCAGCTGGCGCATCGCGCTGATCCGATGGCAGGAGCCAGGTACTTCTCCTGGTCTCCCATGGGGTACAGGGCCCAAGCACTTGGGCCATCCTCCACTGCATTCCCTGGCCACAGCAGAGAGCTGGCCTGGAAGAGGAGCGACCGGGACAGAATCCTGTGCCCCGACCGGGACTAGAACCCGGTGTGCTGGCGCCGCAAGGCGGAGGATTAGCCCAGTGAGCCGTGGCGCTGGCCCGGCCCCACATTTTTATTTTATTTTTAATTTTTTTTTGACAGGTAGAGTGGACAGTAAGAGAGACAGACAGAGAGAAAGGTCTTCCTTTTGCCGTTGGTTCACCCTCCAGTGGCCACTGCAGCCGGTGCATCGCGCTGATCCGAAGCCAGGAGCTAGGTACTTATCCTGGTCTCCCATGGGGTGCAGGGCCCAAGCACTTGGGCCATTCTCCACTGCTCTCCCGGGGCACAGCAGAGAGCTGGCCTGGAAGAGGGGCAACCGGGACAGAATCTGGCACCCCGACCGGGACTAGAACCCTGTGTGCTGGTGCCGCAGGCAGAGGATTAGCCTGTTGAGCCGCAGTGCTGGCTCCCACATTTTTATTTTTTTATTTTTTAAAGATTTATTTATGTGTAAGACAGAGTTGGGGAGGGTAAGGGTGGTGAGAATGAGGAGTGCTTCCACCCACTGGTTCACTCCCCAGATGGCAGCAAAGATGGGGCTGGGTCAGGCTGAAGCCAGGAGCCATTAACTCCATCACTGATGTCAGGGACCAAGCACTTAGGCCCTTTTCTGCTGCTTTCCCAGGCATATTAGCAGGGAGCAGGATGGAAAGTAGAGCAGCCAGATTATTTTTATTTTGTTTTTAGTTTAGTTTTTTTTTTTTTTTTATTTGAAAGATGGAGTTACAGAGAGAGGTAGAGACACACAGAGACAAGTCTTCCATCCATTGGTTCACTCCCCAATTGGCTGCAACTGCTGGAGCTGAGCTGATCCAAAGTCAGGAGGCAGGAGCTTCTTCTGGGTCTCCCATGTGGGTACAGGGCCCTAAGGACTTGGGCCATCTTCCACTGCTTTCCCAGGCCATAGCGGAGAGCTGGATCAAAAGAGGAGCAGCCAGGATTAGAACCGGTGCCCATATGGGATGCTGGTGCTTCAGGCTAGGGCTTAAACCCTCTGTGCCACAGCACAGGTCTCTGCAGCCGGGATTCTTTTTTTTATTTTTATTTTTTTGACAGAAAAGTTTTCCTTCCGTTGGTTCACCCCCCCAAAATGGCTGCTACATCCAGCACACTGTGCCAATCTGAAGCCAGGAGCCAGGTGCTTCCTCCTGGTCTCCCATGTGGGTACAGGGCCCAAGCACCTGGGTCATCCTCCACTGCCTTCCTGGGCCACAGCAGAGAGTTGGACTGGAAGGGGAGCAACCGGGACTAGAACCCGGTGCCCATACGGGATGCCAGCACCACAGGCAGAGGATTAGCCAAGTGAGCCATGGCGCCGGCCCCGCAGCCAGGATTCTTAAGCAGCACTCCAGTATGGGATGCCAGGCATCACAACTCAGGGCTCAACCTCCTGTCCCACAGTCAGCCTAGCATAATACTTTTGAGATTCATTCATGCTGTTGTATCAGTGACTTATTTATGATATTACTGATTGAGCAGTTGCCTTATGCGAGGCACTAACTCTAATATGTTTTATATTATTGAGCCTTGTAACACCCTATGAAATAGGTAGTTACCATCATCTAAAATGTGGAAAACTGAGGCAGAGAGGTTTACCAGCTAGCTCAAGTATATGAATGGCAGAAGTAGAGTTTGTGCTGGAGTTTAACTCCAAAGCTCCTGCTCACAACCATTTTAATATAATATATTGACTGCAAACTTCAAGTTTCATTTATATGTGTTAGGCTTTTTTTGGGTTTGTGGGAGTTGTCATGACTTTAGTATATTAATTTATTAATTAGTCTGTAGTAATACTTGTTACTAAAAGTCTGTAGTAATTCATGATTCAGCAATAAGAACTGTCATTCTCTCTTACTTGATGCAGATATTTATTTTTTGTTACTTACGTATATAAACCCTGAGCCCAAAGTGGTAGTACTGTGGATTATATGTAATTAAAAATTATAGCAGTAATACATATTCATGACAAAATATTTATAGTAAAGAGGATATACAAGCCGGCGCCGCGGCTCAATAGGCTGATCCTCCGCCTGTGGCGCCAGCACCCCGGGTTCTAGTCCTGGTCAGCGCTGGATTCTGTCCTGGTTGCTCCTCTTCCAGGCCAGCTCTCTGCTGTGGCCTGGGAAGGCAGTGGAGGATGGCCCAAGGGCTTGGGCCCTGCACCCGCATGGGAGACCAGGAGAAGCACCTGGCTTTGGATCAGCACGGTGTGCTGGCCACAGCGTGCCGGCCGCAGTGGCCATTGAGGGGTGAACCAAAGGAAAAGGAAAGACCTTCCTCCCCTGGCCTCCCCTCCCCCCACTGTCCTACTTCTGGCCTTGTTTAAAAAAAAAAAAAAAAAAAAAAGGATTTGCAAAGTAAATCTGCCCTCCTGCTATTACCATTCTCCAGAAGTTACCATTGTTGTTTGGCTTGAGTTTGCTTACAGAAAGTACACATATACTTAGAAGCATATGCTCCTAGATACAGTTTCTTTCTCTCTCTCTCTCTCTCTCTCTCTCTCTCTCTCTCTCTCTCTTTTTAAGATTTATTTATTTATTTGAGAGGTGGAGTTACAGAGAAAGAGAAAGATCTTCCATCTGCTGGTTCACTCCCCAAATGGCCACAATGGTCAGAACTGAGCTGATCCGAAGCCAGGAGCTGCTTCTGGGTCTCATGCCGGTGTAGGCGCCCATATGGGATGCCAGCGCAGCAGGCAGAGGCTTAGGCTACTACTCCACAGCATTGGCCCCTTCCTTCTCTTTTTTACACTAATGGACTGATATTATATACAGTCTTTTTTTTTTTTTAAGATTTATTTGTTTATTTATCAGAAAGGCAGTTACAGAGAGGCAGAGAGAGAGGTCTTCGAACTGCTGGTTCACTCCTCAAGTGAACTGTAGTTGTGCTGATCTGAAGCCAGGAGCTTCTTCCAGTTCTCCCATGCAGATGCAGGGACCCAAGGACTTGTGCCATCTTCTGTTTTCCCAGGCCATAGCAGAGAGCTGGATTGGAAGTGGAGTAGCCAGGACTTCAACCAGTGTCCATATGAGATGCTGGCACTCTAGGTGGCGGCTTTACTCATTATGCCACGGCGCCAGTCCCTACATAGTCTTTTTTTTTTTTTTTTTTTTAAGATTTATTTATTTGAAAAACAGAGTTAGAGGAGGAGAGGCGGTGGGGGGGTCTTGCATTCGATGGTTCATTCCCCAGTTGGCTGCAATGGCCAGAGCTGCACCAGTCTGAAGCCAGGAGCCAGGAGCTTCTCCTGGTCTCCCATGCGGCTGCAGGGGCCCGAGGACTTGGGCCATCTTCCACTGCTTTTCCTAGGCACATGAGCAGAGATCTGGATCAGAAGTGGAGCAGCTGGGACTCAAACTGGTGCCTGTTATAAATTAATGTTAGCCGTCGCAAAACACACCGAACATCGGAGTAAGGGAAAGGGTTTATTGGGGAACACCCTACAGACCAGAGTGAAGGGGCGGCGAAGGAAAAAGAGAGAAAGACAGTATGAGAGAGAAAGAGAGAGGAGAGGAGCTAGTGAGGAGAGAAGAGAGCAGAGGGCAGGAGAGGCGAGCTGAGAGAGAAGAACCGAGAGAGCACATGTTCAGGAACAGGCCCTTTTAAAACTTTGCCTGAGGGCGGGCAGGGAAGCAGGAGCAGGAATTCCATTAGGATGGGGGTGGAGCCTGGCTCAGGTGGCTGGGCCATGTGGCCACCTGGCTAAAACTGCGCCAGTTTCCTAACAGCGCCCATATGGGATGCCGGTGCTGTAGGCTTTGGCTTTTACTCGCTGTACCACAGCGCTGGCCCCGATATATTTTCAGTTGGGTAGAATTCATACTCAGTTCGTTTTCTGGTGAGTTTTACAGCGTAGATCTGGAACTGAAGTTTATTGGATGGAAGAGATTTGAAATGTAGCCCTGACATGGGTGGATGAGTTATTTGTAGGCAAATCTCAAAGCTGGTAAGTGTTGTTGTTTCCCTTTTGCCTTCTGCTTCTTTTGCGGCTTTTGGGAGGATAAATGAAATTATTTTAGTAAATTGTGTTATAACTTTTACCAAAGAATTTATGCATTGACTTTCTTTAAATGGAGAGTGTTACATAAACTGATTGTTATCTATACCCATAGGTATATAGGAATGAAAGGAGTAGCTTTTCCTCCTTTGACTTGTTGGCAGAAGATGCCTCCACTCTAATAGTAGGACACTGGGATGGAAGTATGTCACTCGTGGATAGACGGACACCTGGAACTTCTTGTGAGAAACTCATCAATTCTTCTATGAGAAAAATAAGAACTGTTCATGTCCACCCAGTACACAGACAGTATTTCATCACTGCAGGATTGAGGTATGTTTTTCACAAAGTTTTATGATTTAGACCTCTCTTTAATATTTATTGATTTAATTTCATGTACTTGAAAGGCAGAGAGGGAGAGAGAGCGATCGATCTTCTATCCATTGGTTCACTCACCAAATACCTGCAGTAGCCAAGGCTGGACCAGGCTGAAACCAAGAATCAAACTCCATCCGAGTGTTGCCACATGGGTGGCAGGAGCCCAAACACCTTGAGCCACCATCTGCTGCCTCCCAGGGTGCATTAGCAGGAAGTTGAATGGGAAGCATAGTAGCCGAGATTAAAACTGGCACTCTGATAAGAGATGCAAACCCTACAGGCAGTGGCTTAACCTGTTTTGTCACAGTACTTGCCCCAATTTAGGGCTTTTAATATCCCAAATTATGGTTTACTTTGGTAGTTAAAGACATCTGACTTTTTAGATACTCCAAAGACCAATTAATTTTCTTTTCCTCACTGATTGAAGGGTTTTTTGGGTGTAATTTTTTTCTTAAAGATATAACTTACTTGAAAGGCAGAGTAAGAGAGAGAGATCGAGAGAGATCTTCTCTCTGCTGATTTACTCCCCAAATGGCTGCAGTGGTCAGTGCTTGGCCAGGCCTAAGCCAGGAGCCAGGAGCTCCATGTGGGTCTTCCATGTGGGTGATCGTTCCCAAGAAGTTAGGCCATCCTCTTCTGATTTTCCAGACACATTAGCAGGGAGACGGATCATAAGTGGAGCAGCTGGGACTCAAACCTACACTCTAATAGGAATGCAGGTGGCAGCTTAACCTGCACCACATCACCAACCCTGAGTGTGATTTTTTTTTTTTTAAATGAGAAGTCCTTTTGGATTTAATAGTGAAAGTATTGAAGGAAACACACATTCTTGTTTTTAACATTATATGTATTCTATTCTTGTGAGAAGAAAATTTTAACAACCAGAAGAATATTATATGTGATCCATAATTTGTTGGCTTGGGTACCTTGTTTCTTGGAGAGATTGGAAAACCATTTAGAAACTTGTCTCTATGTCTGTATGTATGTACACTCACAGGATACATACATATACTATAGTTGTGGAATTTTTCTGATGTTTTATGTGTTATCTATACCAGTATTTGTAAAATTTGTGCAGAAGATGAGAGAATTCTTTCCTGAATGTTCTTTGGTGTAGCAAGTAGTTGAGGGTCTAATTTATGTTTGGCCCTACTCTGCAGGCTCACTACATGTCTTGTGGCAACACTGATCCTTTCTCTTCCCATTGCAGTGATACTCACATTTATGATGCAAGGCACCTGAAGCCCAGAAGTCAGCCTTTGATTTCTTTGACTGAACATACAAAGAGCATTGCTTCTGCCTACTTTTCACCTCTAACTGGTAACAGAGTGGTGACCACAAGTGCTGATTGTAAGCTGAGGTAAACTGAGAAGGCAGAAATGTGTTTTTAAGGAATCTGGAGTCAGTAGCTGCTGTGCCAATGAACCAGAAGTTGGCTTACTGCTGTCCCCTATTTAAGTGCTAATTTTACTGTTTTGGAGCCATATCCAGGTTCCTGAAGACTGGTGACCTTTGACCTATACTTACTGGGTTTTCAGCAGTTTTGGGGTCCTAGGAATTTCCTTGAGCTGGCAGAGAAGATCTGTAGCTACCCTGGAGAATCCCAGAGACCCCAGTGAAACCAGACTGTGGTGTCTCACAACGGAGATAACTTTACTGTAGGGAGAAGTTCCTACGCTGGGGACAGTGAGGTCTACAAGTGAAATGTTGAATGGAGATTGCAGAGTTCCAGATCGTGGGCAGGCAAAAAACAGCAGAAATTTGGCTTCTGTACAAACTGTTAGAGTTTTATGGATCTAGGATTTTAGCTTTTTAGAGCTCCTTCCTAAAAAAAATGGATTTTAAAATGTAATATAAACCAGTTGACCAAAAACACAAAATGATTTTGTTCTAGAATCACTGATCATTTTTAAAGTTCAAAGTTCCCTTCAGCTTACGAGAGTTTTACCTTAGGTGATTTTGAAATTTATTTATTATTCATTTGAAGAGTATCTCTTGAGTGTATGCTGTGGGCTGGGCTCCAGAATGGCTCCTGATTTCTGCCTGTTGGGAAGAGCACAGTCTGTGGTGTGTGGTGGGTTCCCGGAGTTTCTAGCAGTTTGTGAGTGTTACCAGGTGTTACAGTAAGAGAGCAGGTCACCAGGGAGCAGCTGCTCTGTGTCCTCTTACTACCCATGAGGTTTCTTGTGTCTCAGGAGCTGTGTATTTCTCATTCCTACTCATTTACAGTACAGAGTTCATTCTTGTTTCATTAGCCATTAGTGATTTGGCTTTGTAGTAGTCTGATTATTAAGCTCTAATGCCAAGAAGCCATGTTGTCACATCAAGGCACAAAGCAGAGGAGGAGGAGGTAGTGATGTGGTCAGTTTCCTCCTGCTGTGGTCCTCAGTGGAGGGTTCTGGATTCCACATCAGCTACTCCGCATGAACTCCTCTTCTTATTGCTGACTAGTCTCAGTCTGATCAACCCCTGAAGTGAGACTGTCAGGCCCTTACCTCAGATGAGTCTCAGGGAAACTGCTCTTGCTACATGCATACACTTTTAGATCATGTTTCCTGTTTATGTCGCGTGAATGTGAATGTAATTTCTGAATCCAAATGATCCCTTTTTAACTTTGGAGTCATACTGTTTAAATAAATTATTCCCAAGTGAATTCTAACTAATGGATTTTACAACAGTCTTTGTAATTTAGTTTATTAGCTGAAGTTTATTGGAGCCCGATCTTAACATATTTTAAAATAATCTTATTTCATATCATGAAACAATGAGAAGTTTGGTAAATACACTGATGTTATTTCAAAAAAATTTGTTAGAAGCAGTAAAAAGAGTGTATTTAACTCTATCTTTGATCTTTGTTTTGCAGAATCTTTGACAGCAGCTGTTTATCCTCTCAGATAGCGCTCCTCACCACCATCAGGTAGGTGTCCACCTGCTGCAGACTGTGGATTACTGCGGGCTCTTTGTTGGAGGGCAGGCATGTGAGACTGACATCCATGTGATGTACCAGTCCTGTTTCTGTATTACATTGTGTAAGTGTCCCAGTTTCTAGGTCCTATCCAGGTTCCTGTGTCTATAAAGAGGTTCAATCTCTTTGAGTCAGTGGCTATTCTCTGCAGGTGGAGGTTATTTTTGGTTAAGGTTAATGACTTTATTCTGACCTAAATTACTCATGTTACCTTATTAAAGAGGACAGTAACTACTCCCTTGGTGTTGAGGTTGTCTGAAGCTCTGTTTATTTCTGATTGTTTATTCTGAGCCTAGAGGGCTTCCCCAACAGCATCTTTTTTTTTTTTTTTCTTTTTGAGTACCTTCTTCTTGTACCTGCTAACCTAAATGTGTGTATCTTACATCAAATGTAACTGAGTGCCTTTTCTAAATATCCCTCTCTGTCAGTATTGATGCATTTGGGGACAGGATGTATGATGGATAGATATTGACTCTTGGCTTCCAAGTTTTATAGTTACAGAGGCTACATTTCCTCTTTCATATCTTTGCTTTTTCAGGATTTTTTTCCTGTTTCATTTCTCTTTTCAAACTTTATTTGTTCTAGCTTATTCTTTATTTTTCATAAAAACGATTTATTTGACAAAAATTATATTTATTATGTAACTCATGTTTTGAAATGTGTATACATTGTGGAATGTCTAAATTGAGCTAATTGACACATGCATTACCTCACGTGCCTGTTGTTTTTTTGTGAAGCAAACATTTAAAAATCTGTTCTCTTAGTGATTTAAAAAAAATATTTATTTATTTATTTGAAAGAGTTACACAGAGAAGGAGAGGCAGAGAGAGAGAGAACCATCTGCTGCTTCACTCCCCAACTGCTGCAACGGGTGGAGCTGCGCCAATCATAAGCCAGGAGCCAGGAGCTTCCTCCAGGTCTCCCACATGGGCGCAGGGGCCCAAGGACTTGGGCCATCCTCCACTACCTTCCCAGGCCGTAGCAAAGAGCTGGACTGGAAGTGGAGCAGCTGGGTCTCGAACCAGCACCCACATGGGATGCTGGTGCTTCAGGCCAGGACATTAACCGACAGTGCCACAGTGCCAGCCCCATGGCAGCTTAACCTTCTATGCCACTGCAGCGGCCCTGGAATTTTGCATTCTTTGACCAGCGTCTCTCCAGTTCCCCTGGTGCTAGCCTCTGGTTCAACATTTCAGATTTATTTTATTCATTTGAAAGGCTGAGTTATGGGGTAGAGGGGACAGAGAGACACAGTTAGAAGTCTTCCATCTGCTGGTTTACTCCCCAGCTGGTCAAGACTGCCAAGGCTAGCTCAGGCCAAAGCCAGGAGCCAGGAGCTTCTTTCAGGTCTCCCATGTGGGTGCAGTTGGGCCCTATCTCCACTGCTTTCCCAAATGCATTAACAGAGAGCTGGATTGCAAGTGGAGCAGCTGGGACTCTTAACAGGCATCCATATGGGCTGCTGGCCCTGCAGGTGACAGCTTAGGACCATTGAATGGGGGCTGGTGCTGTGGGGTAGTGGGTAAAGCCGCCGCCTGCAGTGCTGGCATCCCATATGGGCACTGGTTTAAGTCCCGACTGTTCCACTTCAGACCCAGCTCTCTGCTGTGGCCTTGGGAAGACAGTGGAGGATGGCCCAAATCCTTGGGCCCCTGTACCCATGTGGAGACCCGGAGGAAGCTCTTGGCTCTTGCCTTCAGATTGGCTCTGGCCATTACAGCCAACTGAGGAGTGAACCAGCGGATGGAAGACTTCTCTCTCTCTGCCTCTCCTTCTCTCTCTGTATAACTTTGACTTTCCATAAATAAATAAATCTTTTTTTAAAAAAAGACCATTGTGTGGTCTTGGCACTCTTGTTTAAGTTATTTGACCACATGTGTGAGGTTTAGTTGGGGGCTCTTTTGTTTCCCTGGTCTATATGTTTCTCTTTATGCCAGTACCATACTATTTTAGTTACTGTTACTTTGTATACTTTTATTTAATTTTTTTTTTGACAGGCAGAGTGGACAGAGAGAGAGAGACAGGGAGAAAGGTCTTCCTTTGCCATTGGTTCACCTTCCAATGGCCGCTGCGGCCAGCGCACTGCAGCCTATACTTTTATTATTATTTATTTATTTTAGAGAGAGAGTTACAGACAGTGAGAGGGAGAGACAGAGAACGGTCTTCATCCGCTGGATCACTCCCCAAATGGCTGCAACGGCTGGAGCTGCACTGATCCGAAGCCAGGAGCTTTTTTCGGGTCTCCCGTGCAGGTGCAGGGGCCGAAGCATCTGGGCCATGTTCCACTGCTTTCCCAGGCCATTGCAGAGAGCTGGATCGGAAGAGGAGCAGCCTGGACTAGAACCGGCGCCCATATGGGATGCCAGTGCCACAGGCAGAGGATTAACCTACTGAGCCACCGTGCTGGCCGCTACTTTTTTTTTTTTTTTTTAAGATTTATTTGAAAGAAAGAGAGAGGTCTTCCATCCACTGGTTCACTCCCAAAATAGCTACAATGACTACAGCTGAGCCAATCTGAAGCCAGGAGCTAGGAGCTTCTTCTGAGTCTCCCATGTGGGTGCAGGGTCCCAGGGACTTGGGCCATCCTTCTGCTGCTTTCTCAGGTGCATTAGCAGGGAGCTGGATGGGAAGTGGAGCATTCAGGACTTGAAATGGTGCCCTTATGGAATGCAGGCGCTGCAAGCCAGGGCTTTAACCCACTGTGCCACAGCACCTGCCCCTTGTATTATGTTTTGAAATCAGGAACTGTGAGGCCTCCAACTTTGCTATTTGTCTAGATTGCTGTGGCTATAAGGAGTCCCTTCGGTGTCCATATGATTTTCGATTTGTTTTTCTATTTTTGCAAAAAAATGCCATTGGGATTTTAATAGGAGTTGCATTGAATCTATAGATTTGTTTTGACATTTTAACAATATTAAGTTCTTCTATAAATATGGGACATCTTTCCATTTATTCATAACTTTGATTTCTTTTAGCAGTGTTTTGTAGTTTTCAGTGCAGAAGTCTTTTATCTCTTTGGTTATGTTTATTCCTAAGTATTTTATTCTTTTTGATGCTTACATTAATTTTTGATTCTTTCACCAAAATTTCTGTGACAAGGTACTTACGAAGGGAAAGGGAGTTTATTTAGCTCATAGTGTTGGAAGTTCAAGTTCAAGATCGAGAGGCCCCACACGTTGGGTGTTTGGTGAGGGCAGTGGATGGCAGTGGTGGAGTGTGTGTGGAGGAAGCCTCACATGGTGGGCTAGGAAGCAGAGAGGGAGAGCAGGGGCCGAAACTTAGGCTTCTATAATAATCTCCTAATAAGAAGTCACATGAGAACTACCTTCTGAGGACACATCCCCAGTGACATAGGGATCCCCCACTGGGCCCCACTGCTTAAACACTATAGTTAGATTAAGTTTCCATCCTCGTAGTGCCATTAACTTATGACTTAAAACTTTGGGGTTTGAACTTACACATGATTTTGGGGGCCAAATCCTATTCAAACCATAGAAATGTAAGTGGTATTGTTTTCTTAATTCATTTTTAAAAAGACATCTATTTGCAAGGCAGAGCAACTGTGTGGGGCGGGGGGGGGGGGGGGGGAAGGAAGGAAAAGGGGAGAGAGACAGACAGACAAACTGACTCTTCCATCTGCTGATTCACTCTCCCAAATGCCTGCAGCAGCCAGTGCTGGACAAGGCCAAAGCTAGGAATCAGGAACTCCATCCAGGTCTCCCACATGGGTGGCAGGGCTCCAGTTTTCTGGCCATCTTCTGCTGCCTTTCCAGGTGCACTGGCAGCAGTCGGGACTCAAACTGGCATTCTAATGTGGGTTGCTAGTGTTGCAACTGGCAGCTTAACTGGTAATATGCCACAACACTGGCCCCCTTAATTTCCTCTTTTTATTTAAGAAAGATAATAATTTATTTTACTTTTTTTATTATGATGATGATGATGTATTTGAAAGGCAGAGTTAGAGGCAGAGGCAAAGAAAGAGAAGGAGAGAAGTCTTCCATCCGCTGGTTCACTCCCCAAATGGCCGCAATGGCCGAAGCTGAGCTGATCCAATCCGAAACCAAGAGCTTCCTCCAGGACTCCCATGCAGGTGCAGGGGCCCAAGGACTTGGGCCATCTTCTACTGCCTTCCCAGGCCATAGCAGAGAGCTGGATTGGAAGTGGAGCAGCCGGGTTTCAAACTGACACCCAAATGGGATGCTGGCACTGCAGGTAGCAGCTTTACCCACTACGCCAAAGTTCCAGCCCCCATTTATTTTAAAATTGAGAGTTACAAAGGAAAGGGGAGAGACAGAGATCTTCCATCTGTTGGTTTACTCCCCACATGACTTCAGTGGCTAGGGCTGGGCCAGGCTGAAGCGAGGAGCTGGGAGCTTCATCTGGGTCTCCCAGGTGCGCATCAGGGGCCCAAACACTTGGGCCTTTCTTGGTTGCCCTTCCCAGGCCATTAGCAGGGATCTGGATTGGAAGTGGAGCAGCCAAAATAGGAACCGGTGCTCATAAGGGATGCCAGTGTGGCAGGGAGCAGCCTCGCCTGCTATGCTACAACGTCTGCCCCTTTAGTTCTTTTTGATGGGACACTGTTATAGTGTATAGACATAACTAATTTTGTGCATTGATTCTGTATCCTGCAGATTTGTTGAAATCATAAGTTTGTTTTAACTGGTTTTTCTCTTTTTCTAATATGTGGAATTTTTAGTCTTCAACATATAAGATCATGATATCTGTAAATATAGTTTTACTTCTTTTCCAGTTTGGCTGTCTTTTCTCTTGTCTAAGTGCTCTGACTTGGATTTCTAGTACAATGTCAAATAGAGTGGGGAGGATGGGCAGCTTTGCTTTGTTCCTGATCTTAGAGGGAAAGGTTTTAGTCTTTGACTACGTTAGTTGTGGGCTTTTAATATCCTGGTTTTTTTTTTTTTTTTTACTTACTTGAAAGAGTTAGGGAGAAAGGCAGAGACAGAGATTGATCTTCCATCCACTGGTTCACTCCCCATATGGCCACAATGGCCAAGGCTGGGCCAGGCCAAAGCCAGAAGCTTCTTCCGGGTTTCCCAAGTAGCTGCAGGGGCCTGAGTATCTGGGCCATTCTCCACTGCTTTCCCAGGCACATTAGCAGGGAGCTGGACTGCAAGTGGAGCAACTGCAACTTCAACCAGCACCCATATGGGATGCTGGTGCCACAGGTAGTGGCTTCACCTGTTGTACCATAGTGCTGATCCTGACTTTGATATGTTGAGATAGTTTCCTTCTAATTTGTTGAGTGTTTTTATTGTGGAGAGGTGTTGAATTTTGTCAAATGCTTTTTCTGTATCGTTTGAGATGATCATGTGCTTTTGTCCTTATTCAGTTTATGTGGTGTATTGATCTTTTTTTAAAGATTTATTTTATTTATTTGAAAGACAGAGTTACAGAGAGAGGTAGAGACAGAGAGAGGTCTTTCATCCTCTGGTTCACTCCCCAGATGTCCGCAACGGCCAGAGCTGCACCAATCTGAAACCAGGAGCCAGGAGCTTCTTCTGGGTCTCCCACATGGATGCAGGGGCCCAAGGACTTGGGCAATCTTCCACTGCTATCCCAGGCCATAGCAGAGAGCTGGATGGGAAAAGGAGCAGTCGGGACTAGAACAGGCGCCCATATGGGATGCCAGCGCTTCAGGCCAGGACGTTAACCTGCTGCACCACAGCACCAGCCCCTTAATTTTTGTTATGTTGAACCATCCTTGCGTTCCACTTGGTCATGATATATAAACCTTTTAATGTCTGTGAAATTTGGTTTGCTATTATTTTGCTGAGGATTTGCATCAGTGTTCATCAGTATCCTTGATGGGATATTGGTTTATAGTTTTCTTGTATCTTAGTCTGGCTTTGGTGTCAGGGAAACACTGGCTTCAGGATTAGTTTGGATAAGTTCCTTCCTCTTCAAGAGTTTGAGGAGCATTGGTGTTAATTCTTAAATGTTTAGTAGAATTCTTTAGTGAAGCCATAAGGTCCAGGGTGTTCTTTGTTGGGAGGCGGTTGATCAGTTTTGTAACTCCTTAATAAGCTCGTTGTGATATTTTTTGGTAAGTCTTGATAGATTATATATTTCTAAGAATATATTCATTTCTTCTAGATTATCCAGCTTGTTCTTTGATAATCTTCTTTATTTCTGTCGGCATCATTATGTTCCCCCTTTACTTTAATATTATTTGAATTTTCTCTTGAAGATTTATTTATTTATTTGAAAGAGTTAGAGCTGAATGAAGAGAGAGAGAGAGAGAGCGCGAGAGAGATCTTCCATCCACTGGTTCACTCCACAAATAGCTACAAGGGCCAAGGCTGGACTGGGCCAAAGCCAGGAGCCTGGAACTCCATCTGGGTCTCTCATGTTGGTGGCAGGGGTGCAGGTACTTGGGCCATCTGCTGCTGCTTTCCCAGGTGCATTAGCGGGGAGCTATATCAGAGTGGAACAGCCAGGACTGGAACCAATACCCTACATGGGATGCTGGGTGTTGGAGGAAGAGGCTTAACCTGCTGTACTACAATGCCAGCCCCTCTCTTTTTATCTTAATCTAGCTAAGGGTTTTTGTGGTTTTGTTGATTTTTTAACAAACCAAATTTTATTTTAGTTGATTTTTTCTATTATTATTACATTTGTTTCAATGCTAGTCTTTATTTCCTTCCTCTTGCTAACTTTTGTTTTAGTTTGTTCTTATTTATTTATTTATTTATTTGAATGGCTACAACGGCCAGAGCTGTGCTGATCTGTAGCCAGGAGCTTCTTGTGGGTCTCCCACATGAGTGCAGGGGCCCAAGTACTTGGGCCATCCTTTACTGCCTTCCCAGGCCATAGAAGAGAGCTGGATCGGAAGTAGAGCAGCTGGGACTCGAACTGGCACCCATATGGGATGCTGGTACTGTAGGCAGCGACTTTACCCACCTTACCACAGCACCAGCCCCTGTTTTTTATTTATTTGAAATCAGAGTTATACAGAGAGACAAGGAGAGGTAGAGAGAGAGAGAGAGAGAGAGAGAGGTCTTCCATCCGCTGGTTCACTACCCAATTGGCTGCAGTGGCCGGAGCTGTGCTGATCCCGAAGCCAGGACCAGGAGCTTCCTCTGGGTCTTCCCACTCAGGTACAGGGGCACAAGCACTTAGGCCATCTTCCACTGCTTTCCCAGGTCACAGCAGAGAGCTGGATTGGAAGGGGGTCAGTGTGGTGAAAAAAGAAGGTCATGCCAAGATGGCTGCTGATAACAGAGCCTGCCTGGCAACAGGCTGTGATTGGATGCCTTTGGAAACCACATGACAACGGAGCCTGCCTGGCAACAGGCCGTGATTGGATGGCTTCCGAAACCACGTGGCAACAGAACCTGCCTGGCAGCAGGCTATGATTGGTTAGGGCATAGACCGCCCCTTGATCGGATTGGCTGCCTTGGCTGCCTTGGCTATTTAAGTTGCTGTACCAACTGAAATAAACGAGTCTGCAGGCTGTTAGCCTGTGGCCTGCTTTCACCCAGCTGGCACCTGGGTCTGTGTGGTGACTCCGTGCCTCTTGCCCCCACCACACTCTTCCTCTCAGAATGAATCCACCTCAACAGAGCAGCCAGGACTCGAACCGGTGCCCATATGGAATGCTGGCGCTGCAGGTGGTGGCTTTACCCGTTACGCCACAGCACTGTCCCCATTAGTTTGTTCTTTTCCTAGTTCCTTGAGGTGCAGATTTAGGTGGTTGATTTGAGATCTTTGTTCTTTTAAAATGTGTTTACTCTGGCTGGTGCCACGGCTCACTAGGCTAATCCTCTGCCTGCGGCGCTGGCAACCCGGGTTCTAGTCCTAGTTGGGGTCCAGGTTCTGTCCCGGTTGCTCCTCTTCCAGTCCAGCTCTCTGCTGTAGCCAGGGAGTGCAGTGGAGGATGGCCCAAATGCTTGGGCCCTTGCACCCACATAGGAGACCAGGAGGAAGCACCTGGCTCCTGGCTTTGGATCGGCGCAGCGCACCGGCTGTAGCAGCCATTTGAGGGGTGAACCAATGGAAGGAAGACCTTTCTCTCTCTCTCTTACTAACTCTGCCTGTCAAAAAAGAAGAAAAAGAAAAAAAAAAAAACAACAACATAAAAATGTGTTTTCTTAGCACAGTTTTGGTTGCATCCTATAAATTTTGATTTGTTGTGGTGTTTTCATTGTCATTTGTCTCCAGATGTTTTCTAATTTCTCTTCTGTTTTGTTTCTTTTCCTTCGGAGCCTAAATGTATTGATTTTAAAGTTGTAGGGGATATAACAGTTTCATGTTTGGTTATAAGAGGATTGCTAATAGGGGAAAGTAGATCTTGTTAAAATAAGAAATAACCTAGATCATAGATTTCTTTCTTTTTTAAAAAATGTTTATTTATTTGAAAAGCAGAGTTTCAGAGAGGCAGAAAGATGAGAGAGAGAGAGAGAGAGAGAAGGAGGGAGGGAGGGAGGGAGGGAGAGGTATCTTCCACCCGCTGATTCACTCCCTAGATGGTTGCAATGGCTGGAACTGTGTTGATCTGAAATCAGGAGCTTCTTTGGGTCTCCCATGTGGGTCCAGGGGGCCCAAGGAGAGATCCAGAGAGCCGGACTGGAAGTGGAGCAGCTGGGACTCGAACCTGCACCCATATGAGATGCCGGCACTACAGGTGGTGGCTTCACTCACTACACCACAGCGCCAGCCCCCCCCCCCCCCCCTTTAAAGAATTATTTGAAAGGTTGAGTTTCAGAGAGGCTGAGGCAGAAAGAGTAGATTTATTTTTAGAGCTTTCTCTATTGGGTTGTCCTTAAAAAAACGGGGGAAGGGATTCCCACAGAAAAAATTCCCCTTGTTCCACTGAGCTAGAACAGTGGGCAAAAGTGGCACTGTTTCAGTAGACACAGAGTGACCACGTCCGAGCACAAACCACTGAGCTCAGTGCCTGAGGTTCAAAGATGAGGAAGACATGTCTCTTTCCTGAGTTTCAGTTTGTAAAGAGGTTGAAATAAAGTTGGTGATAATTCCATAAATGAATGAGAAAAAGCTTGGCAGGGAGAACTAGCACTTTCCCCTCTGCCCAATGACACCTTGAATTATTTAACTCTTCCTTTTAAAAAATATTGTGTTTTCCCCCCTACACAGGCACAACACTATCACTGGGCGATGGCTGACGAGGTTCCAGGCCGTGTGGGACCCTAAACAAGAAGACTGTATCGTAGTTGGCAGCATGGCCCACCCACGGCGGGTAGAAGTCTTTCACGAGACAGGGAAGAGTGTGCATTCTTTTTTTGGTGGAGAGTGCCTTGCTTCTGTGTGTTCCATCAACGCCATGCACCCGACTCGGTATATTTTGGCTGGAGGTAATTCCAGTGGGAAGATACATGTTTTCATGGATCAAGAAAGCTGCTGAGTTTTTGGTTTCGGAAGAGCAATTTGTTCAGAGGGGTAACTGGCTAAGGAACCTCGTGACCCAGTGACTGAGTGTATTAACTTATCAACAGGGTACATGCAGGACTCTAAATTGCTTTATTAATAAGACCTATGAACGGAAAGTACTTTGAATGAGGGAGCAGCTTGGAGGCCTTCTGTACAGGATAGTGGGGGGATTTGAGCAGAGGCTGAGATGTGTTCAGCACTTAACTGGGCAGTATGTTGAGAGTCTGACATACATTACAAGCCTTTGAATGATCACTGTTAAAAGTTTCTGTGATCTGATGACAGGTTGTGATTCCATAGTGATACTTAGATTTGTGATTTATTTTCTAATTCAGGATATTTATTTCTAGACTCACACTGGAAGAAGTCCTGAAAGGTCATCTATTTCAGTGGCTTAGAAACTTTTTTAGTTTAACCAAGGAGACCTTTTTGCGCGCAGCCTCTAAGTTAACTCTTCCACAAAGCGCAAGGTAAACGCCGAGCAGCTGTGGTTCCCTGGGGCAAGGCCTGCGTCTGTCTGCTGAGCCTTTCCTGCCCGCCCGCCGGGCTCAGGCTGTGTCTGCTGTGAGCCCTCTGCCCCAGGCTGCTGTTTCCTAGCCTAGGAGTTGCAGCTCTCTTCTCTTGCAGTCAGCTTCGTAGTCATGACTAGTGTTTAAAAAGTGAAAAGGAAAGAATTCGTAACGAACAGCAAACCTAGTAAGTATTGCTTTGTACAACTTAGTTACATAAGCATATATCTATCTGTAGGTATATATGTTTATGTATATTCGAGTGTAAAATATTTTTTAATTGTTGTGGGACAGTTGAGTCGTAAGAATTAATCCCCTGCCTTACAGTGTCTCCCCCAAACAGCCTGTCCCTAAATTCTCCAGAAGATTCAGCAGCCTGTTACATGAAGACCTTCGTTCCTATCTGAGGGAAGTGTTATAAAATACCACTTTTGGCATTTCTTTTTTTTTTTTTTTTTTTTTTTTTTTGACAGGCAGAGTGGACAGTGAGAGAGAGAGACAGAGAAAGGTCTTCCTTTGCCGTTGGTTCACCCTCCAATGGCCGCCGCGGCCGGCGCGCTGCGGCCGGCGCACCGCACCGATCCGATGGCAGGAGCCAGGAGCCAGGTGCTTTTCCTGGTCTCCCATGGGGTGCAGGGCCCAAGCACCTGGGCCATCCTCCACTGCACTCCCGGGCCACAGCAGAGGGCTGGCCTGGAAGAGGGGCAACCGGGACAGAATCCGGCGCCCCGACCGGGACTAGAACCCGGTGTGCCGGCGCCGCTAGGCGGAGGATTAGCCTAGTGAGCCGCGGCGCCGGCCCTGGCATTTCTTTATAATGTTTTCTTTTCAGAAGCTATAGTAAGTTCAACGTGTCTGTGCCTGGGAAGGGCAACTGCTGTGTCAGTGACTAATGTTACCGAGTGACATCTGTCCAGCTTGTTCATTGCCAAGCTACTCCTGAAAGCCTTGTAGATAGCTTCAGCTATTGAATTCTCAGGAGGAATTATCTTCTCATAATTCTGTATGACAGAAATAAAGTGATATGTAATTTCTTTGAAGAATACTTTTTTTTCTAAATAATTATCTTCTCTTAATTAAACTTAAGCTTTGAGGTCTAGTTTATTGGTTGTGGGTGTTTATAAGGAATAGGAATTCTCTCTTTTTTTAAAGATTTATTTATTTATTTGAAAGAATTAAAGAGATCTTCTATCCACTGGTTCACTGCCCAGATGTCTGCAATAGCAGGTGCTGGGCCAAGCTGAATCCAGGAGCTTCTTCACGGTCTCCCACATGGGTAGGAGGGTCCCAAACACTTGGACCATTTTCCACTGTTTTTCCCAGACCATTAAAAGAAAACTGGATTGGAAGTGGAGCAGCTGAGACTTGAACAGGTGCCCATATGGGATGCCTTTTTTTTTTTTTTTTTAAAGATTTATTTATTTACCTGAAAGAGTTCCACAGAGAAAGAAGGAGAGGCAGAGAGAGAGGTCTTCCATCTGATGGTTCACTCCCCAGTTGGCTGCAACGGCCGGAGCTGTGGATGATCAGGAGCCAGGAGCTTCTTTTGGGTCTCCCAAGCAGGTGCAGGGGCCCAAGAACTTGGGCCATCTTCTGCTGCTTTCCCAATCCATGGCAGAGAGCTCGATCGGAAGCCAGGTCTCGAACCAGCGCCCATATGGGATGCTGGCACTGCAGGCAGTGGCTTTATCCACTATGCCACCGTGCTGGCCCCGGGGTTGCTTATTTTGCAGGCTGCAGTTTTTCCTGCTACGCTGCAACAGAGGCCCAGAATTTTCTATTTTCTAGGTGCCAAAGTAGAGGAATTGATATGTGAGATGCAACACTAATGTATGAAATGGAAATGGAAAGTAAAGGTAAGAGAAGTTGAGTTATATTTAAAATGTTGAGGAAACAGTAAAGGAAGGCTTTAGGTTCCTTTTCCCTTTTTCTATACCAATTTCACGGGTTCTAGAGTGGCTAGTACTGTGTGCATTTTTTTTTTAATGAAGTTGAAAACTGTATCAAATTAGTACCATCATTTAAGCTGTGAATACTTGGCAGTTAATTCCTTGTCCTTTACAACGTTAGCAGCGTTAGCTTCATATAGCTGTACTATCTATATAGATCCAATTTTCCTTAATAGAGTTATATATATATTCTTGAGGCAATGCAGGAAGGAAGGAGAATGAGCAGGGACTTGTTTCTTGGTGATAAGCTTTCTAATGGAGTACTTGTTTAATCTAGAAAGCATATAAAGGAAAATTGTTTCCCTTAGGACATTCTTAAACCGTAATCTGTATTGAAAGGCACTTCTCCTTGAGACTCCATTATAGCTGTCACTGTGTGTGTCAGGACTGCTCCCTCCCTTTGGGAAAAACCTTCTCTGGAAGTCGTTGTCATTGTGATGCTCAGCCTTTTGTCACGTGACTTCAAGGAAGAAGCAGAGCGCTCTCCTTTTGGGTGGACAGACTTGGTAAGAGTAGGAGAGAATGTAGATGGACGGGAATGGCATCTGAGTTGCCTGAGTCCTGTGTTAATGTTCTGGCCTTTGAGTTGCCTTTTCAGGGAGAAGGCAAGGAGTTGTAGGGTTGATGGGGAGAGTCACAGCCTCTGTGCCAGCACGCGGTACTTGTGTGTGACCTTCACTCAACCTGCTTGGTTTTCCTCATCAGAAAAGTGAGGTCCAATTTATCTCTGAAATTATTCCACATTTATAGCTTCTCAGTTTCTAATGGTATTTTTGGGGGGAGGACAAGAATAATCAGCGGATGTAAGCAGAACAGTTTTTATGTGATTCTTGTCATGTGTGGCAGTCAGCTGTGGAGACCCCACTGATTAAAAATATATATATACACATATATATATATTTTAAAGATTTATTTATTTGAGAGGTAGAGTTACAGACAGAGGGAGAGACAGAAAGGTCCTCCATCTGCAGGTTCACTCTCCAAATTGCCTCAATGGCTAGAGCCAATTGGAAGCCAGGAGCTTCTTCCAGGTCTCCCACATGGGTCTGGGGCCCAAGGACTTCGGCCATCTCCTACTGCTTTCCCAGGCCACAGCAGAGAGCTGGATCAGAAGTGGAGCAGCCGGGACACAAACATGCGCCCATATGGTAGAGGCTTAGCCTACTACACCACAGTGTTGCCGTTCCTACCCCCAATATCCTTTCATTTCTGTGTTGGTAACTTTAAGGAAGGGAAGAAATATGAGACAAGCTATAAGTTAAAAAAGAGTCCACGCTCCATGATATTTAAATATTTATTTAAGTTTAAAAATAATCTCCATGGCACCAATGATTTTTATGCTAACTACAACTACATGTGTAGAAAAAAGTACATTGCTTTGAAGGAAAATGTAACTTAGAGTTTTGGCACACGAAAGGTTAACAACTATATATTTTTAATGAAACTAAGAAATTCACATTTGCAGGTAGTTTAACCTTCTACTGCTTAAAGATGCAGTACACTATTCTTTAGTAAGAGTTTTATTTCTTCTGATAGATGAAGCTGTGAAAACCATTGCTTTTTCTACAATGATCTAAAACTATAATTTTTGAGAGAAAAATGAGAGACATAGAACACAGTAAAACCAGGTTAAAAACTTGAATGACTTTTAATGGTGGGGAGAGACCAAAAAAATAGACTAGTCACCAACAAAGAAAGTTTCTTATTCAAGTTCTATTTGAAAGCAAATTGAGGGAAACTTTTCTTTCCACATTTTCTGGGCTAAACCCTGGAAAAAAATCCTAAAGTTTGTTCAGAGAGCAAAATTGAGCTTTGGGAATGGTACGGACGGCTGTACTGTTGACTCTGGACACGAGGAACACACCAGGAAATAGGATACTGCATCTCTCCCTACTGTGAGTATGAAAGGTCAGAGTCGAGGCTGTCACTCACTGCATAGAAACACGGTATTCTACAGACTGAGGTAGGAGCACTACACTAAAAGGTAATCTGCTATGTTGCATAAGACAAGTCCATGTCCAGGTTCACACCAGCCCCCTGTTTCCTAACAGCCTTTTCATCTGTGGGTCTGTTTTTCACTTTAGTCCATGCTAAATCAAGCCTTGGCTCTTAGATGACCAGTGGCAGTGGCTCGCAGGTCTTAAGTGATCCCTAACCTTCACCAGGATCTCCCTCTGTTTGTCTTGTCACTTGGTCAATAGATGTTTGTAATTCCATGCAGATTTTTGCTGGTATGGAAATGACCAGACAGGCCCTCTTGCCTTCTTAGCTTTGGTCTTGTTTTAGCATTCCGGTACTTGATCTTGCTCCTCCTGGCATCGAACATCTCTTTGCTGGTTGGTTGGTTGAGCACCCGTTAAACAAGCAACTCTGATGTCTCCACTGGGGAGGGTCCTCGGTCTTTCCCGCTGGCTGGGAAGTGCAGCTGATCTGCTGCCGCCGCCGCCATATTGGCAAGGACCAGCTCTATTGTCTAGCTCAGAGCTAACTTATTATGGCCTGCAGGCCAGATTCGGCTCACCAACTGATTTTGTAAAGTCTGATTGGAACACAGCCATGCTCCTTCATTTACATATCAGCTATGGCCATTTTTGTGCTATGATGGCAGAGATGAGTCGTTGTGCCAGAGTATGGCCCGCAAAACCAAAGCAAGACACTGGTTCCTCTCTGGCACTTTGAAAGAAGTTCGCTGACCTCTGGTGCAGATGGAAGGGCATCTTCCTTTACAATTTTGCAAATCCTCTCTTCCCCCTGACTATTCCACAGCTACTATCTATTCTAAATAGACATGGTTTTGCCATCTCAGGACACAGAATCTACAAGTGACTCATTCTCTTCTGTGTTTGGGGCTTTCAGACATCACAGCTGCTCCACTGTAGTGTGGGTCTCAGGAATAAGTCCCCTGCCCATCCTTAAATCAATCCTCAGGCCCCAGATGACCTAGAAATCTCTCCCTGAGATGAAAACAAGATCTCGTGTGTGATTGCTTTAAGGAGTTCGGAGCTCACACAACCTTCCAGGCCTCCGCCAGCAAGGCGGGCAAGGGCTTTCCTAGAACTTCTTTTGCTGATGCAGCGAGTGACCCTAGGGGGCAGCATTTCTACATCTAAGTGCTGGTCTCTGCCATGTTCACCTTTTGTCTTTCGTAGGCATCTCTTGGAAATCCTATTTAAGGAGATTGTTTTCCTGGTCCCTTCCAAGGCTGCTCATTGACCATGGAATTCTATTTTCTGAAGCTTTTCATTCTCAGGGTTGGTTTCTTTCTTGAATCACTTAGTTCATCAGGTTCTATTTTCTTAATTTGTAAAGTAAGAACAAAATATGAATTGATAAGAAAATAACATTTTGTTAAAATATAAATTGGTCTTTTTTGCGGGGGTGGGGGCATTGTGTACAAAATAAGCACTGCTCTGTGAATTCCCAGTCTCTCAGGTAACTCAGCTCTGGTTTCTGTTGGCTACACTTTGTCCAGCAGTTCTGACAGCACGGTCTGTGGCACTAACGCCCCTGGAGCACTATAAAAGTCTTGAGGTTCTTCAGAAGAAAAAAAAAGTCACAGAAGTCTAAGTTCATTATAGACAACTCCCGGTGCTGCCCACTAGGCTCCGGTCTAAGGGGACAGACTTACCCCACCCCTGCTGCTGCTGCTGAAGCGGTGGTCCCTTCTCTGCTCAGATTTGGAAAAACAAAAGAAAATCCAACTCAGACCATCATAAGAAGCAACTTTCCATTTAATCATTCTCCACGGATGGTGACTGCTGTAAGAGTTCTGTGTGGCAGGGAAACCTGGGCAGTCCCCGCTGTGCAGACCCCTGGCCTACCCCGCCCCTGCGAGTGTCCCTGCTCCAGGGAGCACCAGGACAAAGCTCTCTAGTCTCCAACTCGGGCCCCCACCTGCTGGGCGACACTTCTGTGATCACCAGTAGTAGCAAAATAAATTATTTTTATTTGATACTTTTCAAAATAATACACATCTATGAAAACTCAAAATTCAAAACCAAAAATTATCCTGCAGATCGAAGGATGAGAACCAGAACTGCTGAGCCTTCTTGAAAGACCCTCTGAAGAAAATGAGTTTCCCAGCTGGGTTGACAGGGCGTGAGCCTGTCCCTTTCTTCTGAGAAACAACCCTCCTAGGCTGCGGTGGACTCTGTCATGAGAGGAGGACCTGGTGTGTGTGCCGATGGTTCCGCGATGGGTCCCATTGCTGGGAACGGTAGCCGGGCTCCTGGGTCCACCTGGCTAGTTTGGGGGAGGAGTCATGCCTTCTCAGGTGTCAATGAGCAGGCTCACCACTGAGCGGATTTTGCAGGCAAACCATCGCCTGAGGGGACAAAAGTATTGATAGTGGAATTGTTCAAACTCGGGGGTCTGGCGGATATCGCGGAAAAAGGCAATGTCAAGGTCAGACTCGGTAAGGATGATCAGGAGGAGGAGCAAAACAAAGAGGAGTCCCATGGTCACAAGGAGCAAACGGAGGACACTTAAAACAAACTTATTCACCTGTTCCTCCTCCGGCCCGCCGTGCCCCTGACACAGGGCCCTGAGCTCTCCTCGGAGGGCCTCCACCTCTGAAGCAGTGGGGGTGCTGGCCTCAGACTCCTTCTCCTCCTCGATGCTGCAGGTCGCGCCGTTGACCTGCCGGGAGAGCAGCAGCAGCTCCAGGCTGTGCTCGGCCACTGGGGTGGGCAGCACGCTGTCGGCAGGGCTGTAGGCCTCGTCTGCGATCACGGCCACCCGCTCGTTGCTGTCTGCCCGGCTGCTTCTCACGTGAGGCAGGAAGGTGTCCCCGTGGGAGGAGGAACGCACGGGGGTAGAATGGGCGCTGTCCCGCAGGGACTCCAGGCCTGGAAAAGCAAAAGGATCGTGAGTATGTGCTCCGGGTCCCAGCACACACTTCGCTGTCCAGTGGCACCCACAGTTTTATTGGGTCTCCCTCTGTACACCCCCACCCCACAACCAGCAGCAGTGGTTGCTGCTCCATTTGGATACATCACGAACAGGACAAGGGGAGCAGCAGGAGTCAGGATGACCATTTTAGAATGTTTTTTTGTTTAAGATTTGCTTATTTGAAAGGCAGAGTTACAGACCGAGAGACCGAGAGGTCTTCCATCTGCTGGTCCATTCCCCAGATGGCCACAACTGGGCCAATCCAAAGCTAGGAGCTTCTTCCAGGTTTCCCACGTGGGTGCAGGGGCCCAAGGCCTTGGGTCATCTTCAACTGCTATCCCAGGCCACAGCAGAGAGCTGGACAGGACGTGGAGCAGCCGGGACACGAACTGGCACCCATATGGAATGCCGGCACTGCAGGCAAAGGCTTTACCCATTATGCCACAGCGCTGGCCCCCTTGTGTTTACTTTTTGCTTATGGTTTTGGCCCAGTTTGTAAAAATTCTGCCTTTCCTGCCAGGGATGTCCTGGGCCTGGTTTTAACCCCAAATTTTTTTAGAAGGATCTGAATCACACGCTGACCCTGACACAGAATTGGGGCCATGGTTCAGGGATCTCGAGTCTGTCGGGTGGAAAGCCTCGAGAGGCCCGGGGCAGGAAAAGGACAAGTGTGTCTTGCCTGATTGGCCTTTATCGAATACTGACTGCCAAGGACTGCGTGGACATCTCTGCAGCCACACAGCACACAGTGCGGCGCTCACGAGCTCAGGCCCCTGGATTGGTACAGTTGCTAGCAGTCTCCTCGGCCTCGTGGTTCTAGCTGTCCTGACCGTGTGGGATGCTGGAGAGCGCTCTGCTCTTCCTCAGTGCCCCCTTTGGTGCTGCAGGGAACAGTCCCCGGCCACCTGCGTCTCTCTGGACTTTAGAAGGATCGGGGTCCAGGACAGCTGACAGCACCATATCTTCAGACACTCCAGAGTGCAGAGCAATCTAAGGTTTTGTTGAAGGGGGAGGAACTGTCTCACGTTTGTTAGGAGAAAGGAAGGGCCTTCTAGCCCTAAAGCCACTCATCTCTTTGCTTTCTCAGATGGAAAGTTCTCTTTCCAAGACTCTCCCAGGTCTTGGACCCTGGCAGGGAAAAACAGGAATGGGTTTTATCTGTAAACAGAGCAGCTGCCCAGGCCCAAGCCTTTGGGTTCATGGTCACCAGGTGTGGCCCACATCCCAGCACTCCTAAGGAAATGCTCAACGTCTGCATTTTCCACTCCTGGCCCCGTGACTCTCCCGGCCTTTGGAGCCTGTGACAAGAAAAACCAGGCCCCTTCTGCTGCTCAGCATTAGCACTGGCAGGCCCAGCCTGCACCAGGTCTCCAGCTCAGTAAAGGTTTGCACTAACTAGGGCTGATGAGGGAGTTGTCCAGTTCAGAGGTAGATCCAGAAGCTCAAAGATCCCTTAAAATGGTGTCAGTAACCTTCCAGCAATCGTGGGTTCACCGTCCTTGGCTCCCTTATGGCCTGGCCATCTGTACCCAGCAGTCTGCCTCACTGGCCTGGCAGAGCCAACTCGGCGCAGGCACAGGTAAGTGTTCTCCAGAGGAGCAGACCCTGACATCTGTGTTACGTGGGGGGTGGGAGTCAGGGGCCATGGCAGCCCCCCAATATCCACGGCCACTCCCCATCACCTCACAACTTCTGCTTTCAGAAGCCTCACATGGTTCTGGCTGTATTCTGTTTGCCCTAATGCTTAAATCTTGGATTTGCATGTCTTAAACTTTTTAAAGCACTTTCATTTTATCTCTCAGCACTCCATGAAGTAGTGAGGGTGACAGGTTGCAGAACTTGCCTGAAGTCATGTGGCTGGTTGCTCATGGCATGGATAGAATCCAGACCTCTTCCTAGTTCACGTGGCTGCTGATCACATAGTTGGATTCCAGGGTAACAGAACAGGCCAAGATGAATGAAGTCAGCAGCCTACACCAGCCCTAGAATGAGGTCTCAAGTGCTCAAGAAACTCGCTCTCCCTCGTTCCAGAGCTCCTGATACTCCTCTGTCCTTTCTTGGTATGACCCAGGATTTCTGCTCAGTGTCTCCACCTGCACATGCAGCTGGAGAAGTATGTACCTTGGACTGTGTCAGGCAGTCACCGACAAAACAGAAACCTTGAGGCCCTAGTCACAGCACAGTGCTGGCCTGGCTCCTTCCCAAGCATTCTCTGCCCCTCTGCACGACGCCCTTGCAAAGGCCTGTCCCTTCACAAGGACACCTGCGATGACCAGACCTTCCGAAGCACGACTAGTTCAGCTGCCAGCAGCCACTTCAGTGCAAGCTTAGCTTGGTCTGTGATTAAGTCGCAAGCTTTCTGGGGCTGGAGAGAGGCAGCTGCTGTGACATATGACATCAGAGGGCACCAGAATCTACACGATGCTGTGAGCTGGGTGCTCTTGACAGACCAGCTAACGGATAGGCACGCATTTCTAGTAAGGCCCGACAGGTACACTCAGTTGTCAGCCTCTGCTCCCACAACAGAAGACGTTATCATTCCATGTCAGGTTAATCCTGTACGAGAAATTCAGTCACTACTATAGAAACCGCCACCCGCCCCACTCACCCCATTAGACCTGTTAGTTAGGGATGGATGACGTGGGTGGGACCTGGGTTAAGTGGCATAGCAAAACAGACAAATGTCTTTTACCTTGGAGGTGTTCTGGCTGATTCCCTTGCCCAAGGGTGGCTCCCAGTGGGCTGCGGGGCACAGCGGTCAGGACCCTGCCCTGGAGCCGGGGCCCCATCCTCAGGATGCGCACGCTCAGGGGCCGAAAGCAGTGATTAGTCAGGCGGAGCTGAACGTGGACTCGGGTGCGAATCTTAATCAGAGTCTTCCCCATGGTGGCCCAGGAAGACGGACTTCAGTGGAAACCGGCCGGGCAGAGATGCAGAGAAGAGGACGGGAAACCAAGCAGGGACTCCTGCTCTAGAGAGGGGAGGGCAGCTCCCCAAGCCTCAGCTCAGGCGGAGCTGCGAGGAAGGGGCAGCGGTGAACCCGCGTTATCAGGGGCCTGGATGCCATCAGAAGCACTCAGAGCCATAAAAAGCCACGCTTCCCCCGCCTGCGGCCTGTGGAAGGGCCTGGAGCTCTCAGAGGCTGAGGGACAGAAAGGGCAGTGAGCAATCCTGAGGGCAGGGGAATCGAGTGTCCAGGAGATTCAGAATGTAAAGTTAGGACGACACTCTGCTCTTCTAGGCCGCATCTGGTACAACCTGCCCTGCTGCCAGCAAACACACACAGGCAACGCTAACTTTGGCCTAGGTGGCTCTGAGAGGAGGTGGCTGTGGGGCTGGATGTGGGCTGGTCCCGTCCTCCACTCAGCCGTATGCTGTTTGGTCCCTGCTGCTGAGTGGTGCCTGTGGGGCACAATGAGGAAAAGAAACAGAAATCCCCACGCTGCCTCTGGGTCAAGCTGGCATTTGAAACACACTAGCTTGGCATCCCTGACAGCAGACAGGAAGCAGGGCTAACCAGTTCTTTTCTTTCTTTCTTTCTTTTTTTTTTTTTCAGAGAGGCAGAGGCAGAGAGAGAGAGGTCTTCCATCCACTGGTTCACTCTCCACAGGGCCACAACTGGGCAGACCGAAAAAGAAGCCAGGAGCTCCTTCTGGGTTTCCCATGTGGGTGCAGGGGCCCAAGCACGCAGACCATCTTCTGCTGCCTTTCCAGGTGCGTTAGCAGAGCTGGGAAAGCAGCAGGAGATGGCCCGCGTGCTTGGGCCCCTGCACCTCTGGGAGACATGGAGGAAGCTCCCGGCTCCTGGTCAGATCAGCCCAGCTCCGGCCATTGTAACCATTTAGGGGGGTGAACCAGTTGAATGGAAGATCTTGCTTTCTAACTCTGCCTCTCAAATGAATACATAAATCTTTTTTAAAAATAATCTTTGAATTCCAGTTTTCCTTGAACTTTTTGAATCATACTTTTTTTTTGGGTAAATGTTCCATTGTTTTTGGAGATAGCAAATAAAAGCTCCTCCCCTAGAAAGGTCAAATGGTTTGTGTCATGCTGGCTTATGGGCTGTGTGGACTACAGGAATGAGGCCTTGGATGGCGCGTGGACCAATTTCAAACGTCTAAATCCCCTGCAGCTCCGGCTGTCTGCCTCTCTCCTGAGCCCTCTCACAGCCCTGCGTATCTGCGCAGCCTGTTCAGTTAGGACTGGGGTGTGTGTCAGAACTTTTAAAGGCAAAACACCCTCTTGAGAGATGGTGCTTCTGAGCTCTTGCCTTCTGGAAAACAACCCCTTCTTTATTCCTACAGGCTTCTAGCCCTCGCACTGAGAAAGCCACGGACCTGTCCACTTCCACCTCCTCCCTCTCCTCACCCTGAACTTGAGAGGTTCCTTCCTGCCAGCACGTTTCTTAGCTGCTTCTCCTACCCCTCCTGTGTCTAACGGGTCCCGGGCCAAGGGCTGCCACTGGGATGCAGGCTGTGCCTGTCTGCCACAGCCTCGGGCATGGAGTGTGCCGAGCAGGCTGGCTTGGTGAGCAGCACGTGGGAGCCATAATCTGCCAAGTGGGAGATCCTGCACGCCTGCAAGCAAGGATGACTTAATTTGAATAAAGAATCTGTTGCTGCAGTGGGACAAGGTACGGTCTGAGAGGGGCTGGAAGCAACGCCAGGGCTGGGCCAGGAACTGAGGCAGCCTCACAGTCTACCTTGGGGCGCCTGGGGCCTACTGTCCCCGCCCGAGTGCTGCCAGCCGGCTTGGCAGCTGAACCAAACGCACCACAGCGCCAGCACTCTCCGGGGAATGCCGACCTCACGGCCATTCCTCCACATGGTGTGTAGGTAGGAGACGCCTCTCCTGTTTTACATCCTGCATTAGTGCTGGACTGACCGTTGTCCCAACTTGCTGTACAAGCCTGGGCTTTAACCTGCAGGCTTCGGACTCAGGATAGATGGGAAGAAAGCCCACAGAGAGCAAGCAAGTTCAGCCGCTGCTAAACTCATTTCACCTCCCGGAAATGTACACTCTGAGAGCAGAGGTCAGGGGAGAGACACACACAGTCCTGCAGCTCAGCCTGCGATGAGAGGACGCGTCAGGGGACTGTCTGATGCCGATCAGGTCAGCGTCACTTCAGAGGTGGCCCGGTGACCGTGCCTGGTGGTTCACGAGGCCTCTTCTGCACCCCACTCCGTCCCACAGGGGCGGCAGTAGGCTGCGAGGTGAAGCTGCTGCCCCAGGAGCACAGGCAGAGCTCCTACTGGAACCTCATCTCTGACTTCCTGACCAGGCTGTGCACTGTCTCATCCCTTTAGTAAGTACTGCTTCATACATGAGCTCCCTGGCGACCCACGAGGGAGGCGAAGAATGCGACTCGACTCGACAAATGGAGCAATTAAGATACTCAAATAATTAAGTAACTTGATGGCAGCTGTCTAGCCAGAGCTTTCAACCCCTAGACTGGTTGGAGTTGCACACCACGCTCAGGTGACGCAGGGGCTCCCGCTCACAGGGATACGTCCTGGCATCTCCAACCTGAGCCAGGCAATCACACACGACATCCTTGCTAACCTGTGCAGTTCTTTTTCATTAACAAGCAGCGCTCCCACCCCAGTTTTCACCCCATTCAGAACAGAGACAGGTTTGAAGCAATCTTGCTGCTGTTTCCTGCTATTTGCGATCCGAGGTCTTTGAAAAACAGCATCTTTGGGAATGAAAGCTCTCAACTCTACACGCATTTGCAGCCTGTGAGCACACTGGGTCAGTGGTGACAGCTAGAGGGCAGTATTTCCAGACCATCTAAGAGTTTTAGCTACTACAGAACAAGTTGTTGGCCTCAGCAACTGGGGTATCTACTTCAGTGAAGACGCACAGATCTCTCCCCACCTCGGTCTCGCCCAGAGGGAGGGAAGGCTGGGCAGTGATGGGTGTACTGCGTTTCTGGAGACAGAGGCATGGAATTCAGGATCCAACAGGACAGGGTTCTACAACTGAAGCAGAAGGTGGTAGCAGCTACTGGAACGCGCCAGAACCAAGAGCTCAGGACAGTTAACTCTCAGCCATGCTGATTAGTTAGATCAGGAAAACAAATGGGAGAGCAATTTCAGAGCTGCGTGGGACCCGGCTGGTCCCTTGAGTTGACAGACAAACCTAAGGGCTAACCCAGTACTCTGAGTTCTCCAGCCCTCATCAACGGTACAGCAGGTGTGGGTGGGAGCCCTTCCACGCACAGCCAGCTGTATTCCCATCCACAGGGCAGATCCTTCCACCTGCCCCTGGGGCTCTTTATCTGAAATTGCCGCTGTCTCTGAAGCCAATCAGCCTCCCCCAGAGGAATCCAGCAGTCACCTGCGGGGGCTCAGGCTCACCTTCCATGATGGAGATGTGGACGGCTCTCCTGCGGGTCCTGGGGACACTGCTCAGCCGCGGGCCGTGCGTTATGGAGGGACAGCTCCGGCTGGGAACCATCCCGGCTCTGAGGTTAAGGATGCTCCACGTTAATCCAGTGCACAGACAAATGTGGTAGGGCCTGGAGTTGAGTGCTGGCTACTAGCATTGCCTGGCTACATTAAGTTTTGGTCTTTTTTAAGAGAAAAACCAAAAACCCTTTAATATCTTCTCTTTGTCCTTGGCCACTGGGTCCCAGTCAGAGTCTGCTTTAAAACTCTTCACTTCCTTAAATCTCAGGCTCACTTGAGCTGTGTGTGTGTGTGTGTGTGTGTGTGTGTGTGTGTGTGGAGCGGGTAGTAACAGTACCACTGGTTGCATGGGGCAGGACTGCCAGGGAGGAGAGTTCCAGGCTGAGCAGGACTCCTGCAGATGTGCCTGAACACCAGCCCATCCGACTTCCAGCAGAGACCGTGAAAGGGGAGTCATGTGTTTCCACCATTCCCAGAGGCGAAGGCTGGTTGGCAAATCCTAGACTTCTTGGCCACTCATATTCTTTCTGGGTCTTAGCAGGTTCTTAAAGACAGGCTTCTGGAAATGCAGTTTAGATATACTTGACGTATAGATCCCTAAACTATTTTAGATTCACCGTGGCAGGGCGATGGCCTGTCCCTGACTTCCTATAATGAAATCGGCTTGGATACGTCTTCCATGGTCTAACCAATGTAAAGTCTTGGAAAGGCAGAGGAGCGTTCGTGAGCAGGGCAGCCCTGGGTCTGCTCTGCTGTCTACAGTAGCCTTCCCTTCCTCACTCTCTATAGGGGTCAGTGCCTGCTCGCCACTGCTTTAGCTGAGAGCTTTCTCCACCCCTTCTTCAGCCTCCTCCAGCCCTACACCCCTGGCCTGGTGGTAGCTATGGTGTCCCCGAGCTTCACAGTACCCAAGATTCTGCATCTTTTCAGATTCTGGGTCTAAGCTGGAAGTGGCTCTGGGGACGCCCGGGCAGCCTACCTGTGTATTTCTGGTGGTTCCCGTTTGATCTTGGCACTCGACTCCATGACTTCCTTTGCGACTCGCCCGCTGTAGGAGTATCATGAAAAACAAGCAGCAAGAAATGAGCCAGTGTTCCCTGACGGGGCTCCTTTCCAAGATCACCGACGCTTTGGCTGAACTGGGACAAGCAAGGCCTGTTGGGCCTGCCCTGCCCCGATGTACTGGTCATGGAGAAGGGCCTGCTTGCCAGCGTGAAGAGCAGTAAAGTGTCCCGACAGCCTGTCCTAGAGGGCTCTCCATCCCTGCATTCCCTGGATCTTGCGTTCTGAGATTGTGTCTTCACTGCCCAGTGTGGCCCACTAATGTCACACACACACACACACACCCTTTAGACAGTGAGACGTTGGGGGGGGGGTCACTGTCATACTTCTCATTTTGCTGCTGTGGAAAGGAGAAGACACATCTTTGAGACCCTACAGATGACTGTAGGGAAGAAAAGAAATAGTGATGGGGTTAGGTGGCAGGGCTCAGGTCTCTCTGGGATTCCCCAGTCTCTGTCCTCAAGGAAAAGGACCACTGCCTGCCTGTTCTCCAGAGAAAGGTCTGAGAGTGGATCCACGCACTTACTTACTGTCATTATTTACCTGTATCGGAACCGGCTCCCTTTAAAGAATAAATTGCTGCTTGACACCGTGCGGACTTGGCTCGACTTCTCCAGCCTGCAGCAAGGCAAAGCGACACACGGCCTGAAACCGCCTCGCCAGGGCTAGGGCAGCGCATTCCCAGTTCCTTCCAAGGGCTACAGGGGGACTCCACCCAGAAGGCCCGGTTCACAGCGCACGCTGGTCTCAAGGGCTGGGCTGACAGCCCGCTGCCTTCCTGCCTCAGAGCCGGGCCCACCATGTGGAAGTCCCCTGTAATGTCAGAAGGGAGGCTCCCCACGGCTGTTTCGCGGGGCTCACCGGGGGCAGTGGGGGAGTAAATGCCAGGGGAACAGCAGAATGCCACCTCTAATCCCAGCCGGCTACTTATTAGCCATGCGCAGCCTCGGTGTTCTGATCTGTAACACGAAGGGGCTGGGACTGCTTGATCTCGGGTTTCGTCCAGTCTGGTATTTGTGCTCATGTCCGTGTCTGGGTAGTTGTGGGTGGAGGAGACCGAGGCTGTGCTTCCTGTCCCATTTCCCTGGTGGAGGGTCCTACAGTGCTCTATAGTTAAGACTCTGCCAAGTCCTGCAGTGAAGAAACCAGCTGAACTTTAAGAAAAGTTCCATCATTTATTTGAATTTGGAGCTACCTCCCTTCCCTAGAATCCAATTTACTGTCACCTTTGGGGCCACACACAGCTGATGCGGAGGCTCTGGGAGGTCACGGGCACTATAAACCATCCCCCCTGACCCCTTCAGCTCTTCCTTAGACAAGGAAGCTTAGGCAGCTGCCCAGATCGCTACTGCGACATGCCCAAGGAGCCTACAGCGCTACCAGCCAGGAACCATCCGGCTCTGCAAACCTCTGGCATGAGTGGGCGGTGATATGCAGGGAACTGTCCCACAGCCTGTGGAGAGCCCCAGGGAGAGACATTCCCAACTGTCCTGGCTCCAGGAGGCCCACTCGCCCTCTGGCCGAGCATGTCCTGGGCTCTGGCCTCTCTCCCTTCAAGGCACTCACCTAAAGGTGGGCCTGGGGACCGGGTGTGAGAGATGCTGAGGCGAGGCCTGGCCCAGGCGAGGGGCTTTTAACGGTTACATTAAGGCGGCAATGGAAACACTGGAAAAGAAGCTGAGCTCCAGCGTGCATGCTGCCAGGACCGGGTATGAGCGGCAAGCGCTGAAACTGAATTTGGTCACAGGCTCAGAAGTATGCTTCTGCTCCGTGACACGGATCCAAAAAAACAAGGGCCTTCAGGAGTGCTGCTGGAGGCAGGGAAAACACGAGGCAAGGAGATTGCTTCCGTCTGCCTTAGATCCTTTGGCACAGGGAAAGAGAATGCTTCCAAATCTAGCATCCCTGGGGCAGCGAGAGCTCAGGGTGGGGCAGGCCTTTATCTGCCCTGCGCCCTCTCTGCTGGGCCCCATCCTTCCCGGGCTGCTCTTGAGCTCCACAAGCAGGGGTTTGCATTTCAGCTTGTGGAAGTGGCCACGCCTGAACTCTGTCCTTGCAGGCAAAGGGCAGGCGGCAGCAAAATGAAGAGGTGTTCTTGGCCTTCCCTGGACAGCAGGGCCTTGGCAGCGGGTCAGTGTGTCCATGCCAGAGTCTCTCCTGAGTGTCTTCTGGAGAAGAATGTCCACTCAGGTTAGAGTCCAGCTGCCCATTCGGGTTAACCCTGGTGCTGGTATCAAATGCGTGGTGAGTACTAAGCAATTCAGAAAGCTCGACCAAGAAACAGCCTGGAGGGCTGTGGCTCCAGTAACCCAGAGGCGACCACAGCAGTCGCCAGGGAGCAGAGTCTGTTCCCGGGAGGAGGACGTCTCGTCTCCAGGTAGGCTCAGCTGCCTTCAGGGAGGATGTGGCCTGTGAGGATTACCCCGGTAGAAGAGATGGCGCACTCTGGCTTGCCTTGTCCTGATTAGGTACATCTTATTATGTCTTCTATTTTTAAAACAAGACCAAAGGGTTTAGTGAAACATACTTCACTCAGCATCACCCTGGTTTCATGATGGGCCATTTCTGTGCTCACTAATGCTTTTATAGCCATTTCTCAATGAAAGAAAACTGAACCCAAAAGCCTCATATACATTCAAATCCTTTGTTAAAGAGAGAAAGAGAGAGAGAGAGAGAGAGAGAGAGAGAGAGATCCAGTTTCTTAGTAACAGCCTGGCCCTCCCCACCTCCAGTTACCAACCCAGGCTCCTGGGCCCTTGGGCTTTGTCAGTGAGGGGTTGGTATCAACCTCAGCTCAGCACTGGGCACCCACCACGAAGCAGACCCAAGACCCAAGAGTCTCTCTAAGGCCTGGGCTGGTTCATGGTGGAGCTGCTGTGTTCTGGGACAGCTCTGGCCTCCCAGGGCTGGCTTGATTCATGTCAGACATGGATTGGCTTTTTCTGGGCCAAGCCCTGCCTCCAAAACACGCAGAGGCTCTCTGGGCTGTACATAGCTCCAGGGGTACAGATGATGCCCTTAAAGGAGCCTGCGTTTTGCTCTGAAGTCCAGCCTTGTCATTTCATCTTCTTTCTCAACACTCCTCAAAGTCTGCCTGTCCCTGTCCCCGATAAACGTAGCCCTTGGGACTCTGGTTCTGCTAAAGGCAGTCCACGTCGCATGTGTCCACTCACTTGTAGAAGGCTTGGTTCTCAATTCCACATTTCCAGAGGTGCTTGCAGGCTTCTGGAGTGGGTGCAAAATATGTGAGAATAATTTTCTTTTCCTGAAAAAAAAAATCCACATGAAAATGGCCGAGTTGTGGATGCAGACGTGGATGGTGGAGCCCTGGTCAATGCCAGCTGCTGGGGTGAGGCTGTTTTGTGCATTGCCATTTCACACCTGGCAGGTCCAACGGAGGGTGTCTCGACTGGCTCAGGCTGAACCAGGAGAGAGAGCCGTTGGTGAAAAAGTGCCACGTGGGATTCCCATGTGAAGAAAAAGAACCTTACTCTGACACTTCTTGGGGGTAGGGGTCCTTGGGTGTAACCTCTGGGTGCTGTCGGCACCCCTGAGGAAGCTCCATGTTCCAGGGCCTTCCCACCCCTTTGTGCCTCACCTCCAGCTCCTGACCTTGGTCTTGGCTGAGCATGCAGGTGGCCTGGCTCTACCTGGACCCCTCAGGCTGGGCTCTGGCCATCTGGAACCATTCATCCCTTTGCCCCTGAAGAGAAGGAAGCCAGCACTCACCTCTTTCTGACTTACGTATAAATAGAAAGTTTTCCCTTCAAATTTCAGCTTGGTCACCTCATTCCTAGAAGTACAAACAGAGCAGCTGTCACCTCACTGTGGGCTGCGTGTTCACAGCTAAGTCTCGTAGATGCACAGCCCACCCCGACTGGAAGGGGCTCCAGGCACAGACACAATTTTAGCCAAAATTAGAACTGAAACAAGACAGCAGCGCAGTGGCCTTAGAGAACAGTTGTTGGAACAGTTCAGTCCACAGTTTTCTGGTCAATCACACTAAAATAATAGGGTGATAGGAGGATTTCGGGCTCATCAACAGTGGCTGCAAAAGGGAAACATCTGCGTGGAAAGTGAGTCTAGGAGAGTGTCTGGGGTCATTTCAGGATTTGGTTCATAACACAGGTGCATTATCTGGACAGACTGTCAAACATAAGATGCCACAGACAGCTGATGAGGCCAAGTTCAAGATACAGCAAATAACGAAAAAAAAAAAAAACAATGCAACCAGGTTCTGAGGGAGCTGAGTCTTTTAGGTGACTGTGCCACTGGATGGAAAATGCAGTTTAATGCAGATGAATGTCAAACAGTCTCAGGGAGGGGCGGGGCAACATACCAAAGAGAGAGGACAGATTACATGAACAGTCATGCAGCGTACTGACCAGGAAAGGGGCTTAGGGGTAATTGTAGAAAAATCCTTGAAGCCACCAGCCCAGTGAATGGCTGCAGTAAAAGAGGCAAACAGGATACTGGGGTATGTCACCCCGGGACAGACACAAATCAGAAGAAGTGACATGGTTACTGTACATGGCACGGCCTAGACCTCACCTCCACATGCTGCTCTCAGCCTTGGTTACATTTACAAAATGGAAAAACTCCCAGACTGCAGGTGGATGTCCCTGAGAGCCAGAGAACCAGGCCTCGGCATCGGTCACCCCTCGCTTCCCTCCTGTCTGCGAGTACAGCTGCCCTCCGGCTCACTGAAGCCCCTGTTTTTTTCACCCGTCTACCTAAGGTGGTCTGATCGTGCACACCTGCCTCCACTTGGCATCTCTGTAATTTCTGGGGAGATTTCTTCCAAGTCCTACGAAGTAGTAGAAAGGTGGTAAGAACCATGCACCCCAATTTACTGCCAGACAAAACTCAGGGAACAGGAAAATTACTTGTTCTCTGTGATCCTGGAAATCATGGCTGAGTGTGCAACTTCTGACCACCAATCCAAACCACACAGCCTTCCTTCCTGTTTCCTTCCTTTCCAATCAATCATCCGTCTCTTAAATACATGTGGGGTGGGGCGGGCATCATGGCTTCCAGAGGGATAAGGGTAACTTAGGGACTACAAGTGTTTGTAACAGGTGTATCCTACTTGTTTCTAGCTAAGGGACCTCAGGAGAGAGGCAGCCAGCCAGAATGTGGCCTGGGATCTGGGCTCAGGAACATCAAGCAGTCCAATGTGTCCATGTGGCAGGTGCTCTTCCTGAGGCCTGTTCCTGCTCACTGTCTTTTTCTGAAAAGTATCTGGTCGGGTAGGAAACCGGAAACCTCACATCTTCATGCAGGGAGCCTGGGAAGAGGTGTGCCTGGCTAACACCGGGGCAGCTGACTGCCTGGTGAGGGGGTTGCTCTTGCAGGGGAAGGCACTGGCCGTGCGTGACAGAGGGGTGGCTTCCGCAGCACTCGCCTTGATCTTGGCACTGCCATTCCTAGGAGGGTCATGTGGGTTGGAAAGGCGGTGCCCATTCACAGGCTCGGTCAGGGTGCTAAGGGCACAGGCGGCGAGGTGCCTGCTGTGCCCCCAGAAGGAAGTTTACAGGAAGCCAGCCGGCACTCAGCTTGCTCATGAAGGCTCTGGAGAAGGCAAAGGAACCAAGGCAGAGCTCCGCTGGACAGAGAAGCCACTCATCTAAGCCTGCAGGAGGAGCAGGCCAGCTGAGAGGAGGCCCAAGGAGGAGGAGAAGAGACAGGGCCTTCGCAGAACATGCAATATATTCTGATGAGGCTGCCATGTGTGCACGGGCCAGCGAGCAGCAGGGTTTTCCGGATGCCCAGAGTCCACACCTACAGCCATGCGGCAGAGCAAATCCCAGAAGAAACAGAGAGGGAAGCAGCTCAAAGTAGCTGTGGCTCCAGTCGGTGCTGTGGCCTGCTAGAGGTGGGAAGGGACGGGGAGTGGGCAGTGGCTGCTGGAGCAGAGGACGCTGTGAAGATGCACAGGGGTGAGACAGAGCAACCTGGGAGCTCTTGGAGACAAAATGCTCACAGTTGGGGGGGGGTCTGAGGAGGGGATCTTGCCAGAGTGACAGGTGACTTCCCTCTGCCCCAAGGGTCACAGTCCTCAGCAGGTGACAGCTCCAAGGACTCAGTTCTCATGGACACTTCGCTATCCTCACATCTGCACCAGCCCAGGCCTCATCCTCCCCACAAATCAAACATCCCCAACCTTTCTCTCTCGGGAGAGGGTGCTGGCTCTCAGGGACACCCCTTTGGAAGAGCAGGATCCCTAGGAAGAGGCTCTACCTTCGTGAATCACCGTTACCAATGCGAGGCTTTGGAGAGGGCTCTGAGCCATAACTGCCTGATCACAGACAAAGGACGTGGGAACCGGAGCCCCTCCCCAGGTAAAAGGAGCTGGGTTTGGAAATGAAGACACTCACCATTTAATGAAGTGGACCCTCTTGTTTCCTTGAAGAACCACAAACCCAAAAGGTGTGAAGGCCAGAAAGGCAGCATTTCCTGACACATCCTGCAGCACAGAAAGACTTCTCATCAGGGGGAGGCAGGCACGAGGTGAAAGGGGAACTGCTCATAGGCAACGTGGGCGCTTGGTTACACAGGCACGTCCATGGCATTTGGAATCACAAGACCATAGTGCGGGTCCCAGCCTTGCCCCTCGCCAGCTGTGTGACTGCAGGCAAGGCCTTCCTGAGCCTCGGTGTCCTTACCTGTGAGCAGTGGACCGCAAGGGCAGCTACTTAAGAAAGTTGTTGGGAACAGCCCAAGAGAAGGGCCAAAGCGTGTGCCTTGCAGCGAGGATCACATAGCTGTGAAGTTCTTCAAATTATTAAACACAGTGACGATTACATTTGCAAGTCTACACTTAGATAGGCACCGAGACAACTGAAAATATGTCCATGCTCATGAATGTTAACATTGACACCACTTGTAACAGCCCGATGATGGAAACAACCCGTCCATCTTCCAGTGGACTGTGTTCATCAACTGATCAATGAATGAACACGCAGTATGTTATGGTATGATGGAATATTATTCGTGAGCACAAAAGAATTAGGAACTGACACATGCCACAACACAGGTGAATCTTGAAAATGCCATGCCAATTCACTGCTGGATTCTACCAGATATTTAAAGGAGAACTAATTCCAATTCTTCTCAAGCTACCCAAAACAAACCAAAGTGAGGAAATCCTCCCAAACTTCAATGAAGCCAGCATCACCTTAATGCCTAAACCTGAAAAAGATACCAGAGAAAGAGAACTACAGACCAATTTCCCTGGCAAAAATAGATGCAAAAATCCTCAACAAAATACTAGCCAAAAGAATCCAACAACACATCAGAAAGATCATTCACTTGGACCAAGTGGGATTTATCCCTGGTATGCAAGGATGGTTCAGCATTTGCAAATCAATCAATGTAAAACATCACCATCAATAACTGAAGAACAAAAACCATATGGTTATCTCTAGATGCAGAGAAAGCATTTGATAAAATACAAGACCCATTCATGATGAAAACTAAGCAAACTGGATATATTCCTCAATACAATCAAGGCAATTTATGACAAACCCACTGCCAGTGTCTCATTAAATGGGGAGAAGCTGGAAGCATTTCCACTGAGATCCAGAACCAGACAAGGATGCTCACTCTCACCAGTGATATTCAGTAGAGTCCTGGAAGTTTTAGCAGAGCCGTTAAGCTAGAAAAAAGAAATCAAAGGCATACAAATTGGGAAGGAGGAAGTCAAACTATCTCTATTTGCAGATGACATGATTCTATATACAGGGGATCCAAAAGACTCCACTAAGAGACTACTGGAATGCATAGAAGAGTTTGGTAAAGTGGCAGGATATAAAATCAGCACACAAAAATCAATAGTCTTTGTATACACAGACAATGTCATGGCCAAGAAAGAACTTTTAAGAACAGGGTTGGCACTGAGGCATAGTGGGTAAAGCCACTGCGTGCAATGCCAGCATCCCATATGTGTGCTGGTTCAAATCCTGGCTGCTCAACTTCTGATCTAGCTCTCTCTATGGCCTGGAAAACAGTAGAAGATGACCCAAGTCCTTGGGACATTGCACATGTATATGAGACCTGAAAGAAGCTCCTGGCTCCTGGCTTTGGATCAGCCCTGCTCTGGCCATTGCAGTCATTTGGGGAGTGAACCAGTGGGTAGAAAACCTGTCTGTCTGTCTCTCTCTCTCTTACTCTCTCTCTCCTCTCTCTCTGGAACTCTGCCTTTCAAATAAATAGATCTTTTTTTTTGACAGGCAGAGTGGACAGTGAGAGAGAGAGACAGAGAGAGAAAGGTCTTCCTTTGCCGTTGGTTCACCCTCCAATGGCTGCCACGGCTGGCGTGCTGTGGCCGGCGCACCGCGCTGATCCAATGGCAGGAGCCAGGTACTTATCCTGGTCTCCCATGGGGTACAGGGCCCAAGCACTTGGGCCATCCTCCACTGCACTCCCTGGCCACAGCAGAGAGCTGGCCTGGAAGAGGGGCAACCGGGACAGAATCCGGTGCCCCGACCGGGACTAGAACCCGGTGTGCCGGCGCCGTAAGGCGGAGGATTAGCCTAATGAGCCATGGCGCCAGCCAATAGATCAATCTTTAAAAAAATAACTTCTAAGATCAATCTCCTTCATAACAGCTGAAAAAAAAAACACAAATACCTTGGAATAAATATAACCAAGGACGTCAAAGATCTCTACAATGAGAATTACAAAACATTTAAGAAAGAAATAGAAGACGACACACACACACACAAAAAAATGGAAAAAATCTTCTATATTCATGGATTGGAAGGATCAATATCACCAAAATGTCCATACTACCAAAACCAATTTACAGATTCAATGCAATACCAATCAAAATACCAAAGACATTCTTCTCAGATATAGAAAAAATTATGCTGAAATTCATATGGAAACACAGGAGACCCTGAACAGCTAAAACAATTTTATACAACAAAAACAAAGCCGGAAGCATCACAATACCAGATTTCAAGACATACTACAGGGCAGTTATAATCAAAAGAGCATGGTGCTGGTACAAAAACAGATCTATAGGACAATGGAACAGAATAGAAATGCCAGAAATGGGGCTGGTGCTGTGGCGTAGTGGGTTAAGGCCCTGGCCTGAGGCACCAGCATCCTGTATGGGCACCAATTCTAGTCCTAGCTGCTCCTGTTCCAATCCAGCTCTCTGCTATGGCCTGGGAAGGCGGTGGAGGATAGCCTCGGGCCCCTGCACCTGCATGGGAGACCCAACAGAGACTCCTGGCTCTTGGCTTTGGATTGGTGCAGCTTGGGCCGTTGCAGCCATCTAGGGGATGAACCAGCAGATGAAGGACCTCTCTCTCTCTGTCTCTGCCTTTCTCTGTAACTCTGTCTTTAAAATAAATAAAATACATCTTTAAAAAAAAAGAAATGCTAGAAATCAACCCATGCATCTACAACCAACTTTTCTTTGACAAAGGAGCTAAAACCAATCCCTGGAGCAAGAAAAGTATCTTCAACAAATGGTGTGGGAAAACTGGATCTCCATATACAGTATGAAGCAAGACTCCTACCTTACATCTGACACAAAAATCTACTCAAAATAGATTAAAGACCTAAATCTAAGACCTGATACCATCAAATTATTAGAGAATATTGGTGAAACTTTGCAGGACACTGGCATAGGCAAAGAGTTCTTGGAAAAGATGCCAGAGGCACAGGCAAACAAAGCCAAAATGGACAAATAGGATTGCATCAAATTGAGAAGCTTCTGCACTGTAAAGGATACACTCAGCAAAGTGAAGAGGCAACCGACAGAATGGAAGAAATTATTTGAAAACTATGCAATTTATAAAGGATTACTATCCAGAATATATAAAGAGATCTAGAAACTCAACAAACAACCCAGTTAAGAAATGGGCAAAGGACTTAAACAGACATTTTTCAAAAGAGGAAATCCAAATTGCCCACAGATACATGAAAAAATACTCAGGATCACTAGCCATCAGGGAAATGCAAATCAAAACCACAAGGAGGTTTCACCTTACCCCCATTAGAATGGCTTTCATACAGAAATCAGCAAACAGTGCTGGTGAGGATGTGGGGAAAAAGGCACCCTAATCTACTGTTGATGGGAATGTAAACTGGTACAGACACTGTGGAAGACAGTATGGAGATATCTCAGAAAACTGAATACAGATCAGTGATCCCACTCCTTGGAATTTACCCAAGGGAAATAAAATCAACATATGAAAGAGTTATCTGTACCCCCATGTTTATTGCAGCTCAATTCACAACAACTAAGATATGGAATCAACACAAATGTTCCTCAACTGAAGAGCTTAAGACTGGATAAAGAAATTATAGGATATATACACCATGGAATACTACACAGCAGTAAAAAAAAATGAAACCTTGTCATTTGCAACAAAATGGATGAAACTGGAAAACATTATACTTAATGAAATAAGCCAGTCCCAAAAGGACAATTACCTTATCTGTGATACCTGATCTGTGATAACAGAGAACCTAAAAGGTAATCTGTTGAAAGTGAAATTGACACTTTAAGATGCAATGACTTTGAACAGCCCTTGTTTCAACTACTGAGGAGCAAGTTTTTTTTTTTTTAATACAGTTTGTTGAATTCTTTATTTAGCACAGAGTTAATCATTTGTGTATATATATATATTTTTTTGACAGGCAGAGTGGACATTGAGAGAGAGAGACAGAGAGAGAAAGGTCTTCCTTTTTGCCGTTGGTTCACCCTCCAATGGCCGCCACGGCTGGCGTGCTGCGGCCGGCGCACCGCGCTGATCCAATGGCAGGAACCAGGTACTTATCCTGGTTTCCCATGCGGTGCAGGGCCCAAGTATCTGGGCCATCCTCCACTGCACTCCCTGGCCACAGCAGAGAGCTGGCCTGGAAGAGGGGCAACCGGGACAGAATCCGGTGCCCCAACCAGGACTAGAACCCGGTGTGCCAGCGCCGCAAGGTGGAGGATTAGCCTAGTGAGCTGCGGTGCTGGCCCATTTGTGTATAAATTAATTGAAAATAGAGGGGCTGGCACTGCAGCATGGTGGGCTACATCTCTGCCTGCAGTGCCAGCATCCCATGTGGGCACCAGTTGTAGTCCCAGATGCTCTACTTCCGATCCAGCTCTCTGCTATAGCCTAGGAAAGAAAAAGAAGATGGCCCATGTGCTTGGGCCCCTGCACATGTGTGGGAGACCAGGAAGAAGCTCCTGGCTCCTGGCTTTGGATTGGCTCACCTCCAGCTATTGCAGTCACTTGGAGAGTGAACCAGCAGATGGAAGACCTTTCTCTCTGTCTTTCCCTCTCTGTGTCTGTAACTCTACCTCTCAAATAAGTAAATAAATAAATAAAATCTTTAAAAAAATAAATGGAAGGACTAAGGGCAACTGAAAAATATATATAAAAAAGAGAAAATAGATCTTAGTGAAAACTAAGAATGGGAATAGGAGAGGGAGAAGGAGGATGGGTGGGAGTGTGG